ACTGGTCTGTTTGTTCTCTAGCTTGTGGTTGTACTGAGTTTCTTAAAGCGAACCATTCATAGTTTGCCCATGTTACTGTTTGAACTAAGTCAGAGTTAGAATATATCTTATATCCCATGAAAACTTCTGGAGCATATTGGTATCCGACATAGAAAATTCCATTGCAACCTTTCTTGTCAGACAACTTGGCAGAAGGTTTTATTTCAATGTCTTGTTCCACGTATAAGAATGAGTTGTCAATAGAAATAATATGAAACCTGTCGCATGCAATATCTACTGTTGTTGAAGAACCTTCTCCAAACTCACCTACGTTTCCATAAGAAACAGCAGTTGTATATTCGTAAGTTCCAGGAACTATTTCTGACCTTCTAATGGCATTGTCGCATTCGTTATACCATTCGGAAACATTTCCATTCATAGCATCCAAAACTGTTGGCGTTATATTCTGAGCGGCGTACATTTCATATGAGTAAAAATATAGAATAGTTGGATTTATATGTCATAATAGAACCCACGTGGACCAAGCTTTACTTTCTTCCTGACTGAGTTTTTAACTCTTCTTTTTCCTTCATTGCCCTCTGCTTGAAGTTGTTGCATCTTTGCATTATGTTCATCTAGTATGTTGCAAATTTCCCATGTCCTTTTTGCCTTTGGACTCTGGTCGCCCATCTCAGGTAACCTATATCCTAGAAAGAGTTTGTCATAGTCTGTATTTGAGTCTTCGCGTATTGTTTGCATGACTCTTTCCTGAGTTTCCGGTTCAAGCGCTTCAAACAGTGCCTGTCCATATGGAATAAGCTCGTTTCCAAATATATGTTTTTGTAGCCATTCTGGTTTTCTTTCCATGTTACCAACTATATCTTTTGTGAATGGGAAAGCTTTTACCCAATCTTTCAGTCTTGCGTCGTTTATTTCTGTAGTTGGTTTTATTTTGTCAAGGAACATGTTTTTCAATACTAACATTTCATTTGGTACTGTCCATTTGAGTTTTCTTAAATATTCATCCCTTCTCGATTCATCGTCTGCAAAGTAAGTTTTTATGACATTTTGTAAACTTTCGTTTGCAAGGTCATGTACAATAGGTTCTCTTCCTTCTCTCTCCCTAACTTTCTTTCTAAACTCTTCACCAAATATACCATCTCTATGGTTCTGTGTAGTTCTTTGAGATAAATGTTCTAGAACGTCAGGTGTTATATTTCCATCAGCCATGTTCATTTCATACTGGTTCAAAATATCTGCATCTTTCATATCTTTCAATGGCATTAAAGCCGCGCTGAAAATACCAGCTATATCTGGTTCACCATTGACTTCCATTGCGTCTACAACTTCTTGGAATTGTGGTTGTAAGTTTATGAACCACCTATCCGGGTTAGCTTTATGACCCCATCTCATTGTAGTTCCATCGTCTGCAGAAACAAAAGTAGGTTTGTTTCCATCTTGGTTAGGTTCTGAATGAACTTTAAACAATGTTTCATTTCTATATGTTTTCTTGAAATTTAACCTTTTATTTTCACCGAGTTCATCCGAAGATTGAACGTTAAATGCTCGTAAGTAAAAAGGGTTGTTGTATTTGTGTACATTTTCTTTCAGTACTTCCATTCTATGCTGAATATTTTCATCTGGTGTTGGAGTCTTTTGTATGTCGGCAAACATTTTTCGATATTCTTCTACTATGTCAGCCGAATCTTTCTTAGACTCTTGGAAAGATTCCATATTCACCTCATGCTCTTGTTGAGGGTCAAGATTTTTCGGCTGTTCCAAATCTTCATCTAGTTCTGTGAAGTTAGTTTCCAAAGGAGTGACTTGTTCGTTTCCTTCAGGCTCTTCTAGCTGTTGTTGCTGAACTATTTCTTCCATGTCTGGTTGTATCTGAACTTCTTCCTGTGGAGTTTCTTGTACCTCATCTGCTGGCATTTCATATATTCCGAGACCGTTTTCAACAATTTCCCTATCTACGTCATCCGCATTCATAAGCTTTTGTTCTTTTCGTTCCGTCTCTATTTTTTACGCGTTTCATGACGAAAGTTGAATTGTCATTTAGCTCTGACATCAAATATCTCGGAGTAAATTCATCCATGTCATTTGGATGATATGCTATTAAATCATATCCCTTAGCGAGCTTGTATTTTCCAGGTTTGAGATTATATCCGTTTTGGTGCTGAGCCATAAAGCTAAATAGGTTCGGGTCAGTATTTCCATCCTTGAACTTTCCAATAGCTTCTTTATATCTGTCACTAAAGTCAACAGTATCTGGGAAACCACACTCTTCTTTAAGCATTTTTAAGAATTCTTGGTTTCCTTGTTCTCTACTTCTTTTATGTCCTTGCTCTGTTTGTGGTTGCTGTGCTGGTTGTGGAGGTGGTTGTGCTGGATTTTGAACTGTTGGTTGCTGTGCTGGTTGTTGTGTTGGTTGTTGTGCTGGTTGTGGAGGTGGTTGTTGTGCTGGTTTTGGTGCATGCCTGTGTCTATGTCCATGTGACGATGTAAATGTTCTAGGTAGTCCTGGTGCAGGTGCTTCTCTTGGAGGGTTTGGTGGTATATAAGTTCCACCAGCTGGCACATATGTTCCATCTGCAGCGTAATGTCCTACCTGACTTTTCGTTCTTAAGAAAGCATTTACTAGGTCTGTTTTGGTCTGTTGTAACTCTTTTTCTTGACTTTTCACAACAGTTGCTCTAACGGCGTCATAGGCACTTTGAACTGCCTGTCTCGTTGCTGCATCTGTTATTTTCGTCATATTTTGTGCTACTTCTTTTAACTCTTTGTCGAAACCTTCAGACTTCAGTTTCTTTCCAGATGAGAAGTCGTTCACTTGTTTCACCTTACTATGAAGAGCTTCGAAGGCGTTCTTAAAGTCAGCATTTGTTAAAGCTTCATTTGAACTGTCTTCATCCGCTTGTATTTTTGTCCTTATTGACCCTATAAGCTGGGCTGCTTTAGCGTTGGCTTGGGCATCTAACCAGTCATTGTTAGCTTTTATATATTCTGAGCTTTTCATTGCCTTTTGCATGGCTGCGTCGTTATTTTTACTTTCTTGTGCTAAGTTTTCATACTGTACGGTTTGGTTTTGCAACTGTAAAAGTTTTTCTGCCTTTACAGTTGCTTCAACTTCTTTTTTATACTCATCGCTATCCATATATGTCTTCAGGGCTTTTTGTTTTATTTCTTCATCTTTCAGTACTTTATATCGAGTAGTATGGTTTTTCAAATTTATGACATCTTGTTCCATTTTTGCTACTTCTGCTGCTTTTTCTGACACTTTTTTCGCATATTCCTCTGTACTTAGTTCTTTCAGTTGTTCTTCTTTCTTCTTTTTCTCTACGTTTAACTCATTGAGTTTCTTTGTGTGTCTGTCATATTCTAGTTTCTTTTCGTTTTCACTTATTTGCTTCTGTATGTCTATGTTTGACTTTTTGACATCTGATATTTGATTTTTGAGTGAACTCAAATTCATTTGACTTTGAGGGTTATAAGCTGTTCCGTCTGCAGCTCCACCATAGCCTGCCATTTTCGCTAAAAGTGCCGCTCTTAAACCTCCACTCTGTGCACCAATAACTCGGTTTAAAAGCATAGGGTTGCTTGACATTTGTTGCAACATAGTGGGGTCATTCATAATTTGTTGTTGCAACTGTTGTTGTGGTGTTAGTTTTACTATTGGATGTTTCAATGCTCCCTTCCTCTTACGTATATTCTTACGTAGCTTACGTGGCATTTTAAGTGAAGTAAAAAACGGTTTTTGACAGATGTTTATATGACACTTTTTGTTCAGCACAAAAAACTACTCGGTCAAAGTGTTGTCAGTTTTGTAAAATAACCGTCCTATCTCCGTGCCTATGACGAAGAAATCTTGACAAATTCAAGAGGGTAGAAAAGAGGTTAGAAAAGAGGTTATATCTAACCTTCTACCCTAAACATTATTTTTGTCTGATTTTACGAAGAAGTCTTGACAAAACATTTACGAAGAAGTCTTGACAAAACATTTACGAAGAAGTCTTGACAAAACATGAAAACATATATAATTTGTGAAAAGCTCCTGGAAGACCTCCGAATAAAAACTTCATTTATGTGGGCTAGAAGGCACGAAGTGCCTGGAAGGACACCCCAAGAAAAAAAAACTTCATTATACCAATCATCCTCAGGGCTAGAAGGCACGAAGTGCCTGGAAGCCCCACTACCTTTTTTTTTTTTTTTTTTTTTTTTTTTTTTATAGAATTTATATACTATTCATCTATTAGTAAACACTACCGTATATTATTTTTTAAGCTATCTTATTTTTTGAACTTTTATTCAAATCTTTGGTCGCAAGAAGAATTGCATGATAAATAAAAACATTTAATCAAAGTCAATTTTATTTTTCATATTCAAATGGACTGAGTGTTAACATTTAACATTTTTTGCTAATTGTCGTCAAAAATTAGGCGTAAAGCAAAAATTGATATTTCATATGGTTTTATGATAGATAAGCATTATATTCCCACTCATTATATTCGTAAATTTTGAGGTTTATCCTTCGCTTTTAAGATCATTGAATTTGATTTTTATATAAAATAGTTATATATTAGAAAATAATATGAGTTTATGTGATATTATTTTTCAGAAGATTTCATTCTATATGCCTATGAAAAGTACTCTCAAAACTAACTTTTCCTAATTATAATTAAATCTAGAATATTGTATTATGCTTAGTATTATTTCATTTTTCTCATTCAATTTAGAATTTACAAATGTCAAAAAATTGAGAGCTGTCACTTTTGATGAATTTCTGTTTATTACAAAATCGAACAAATTGTGAATTTTTACTTTTGAATGGTATTCAAATTTACCCTCTCCTAAGAAAATGCCCCAACAATATGAGGAAAAATATTTTGAGAAATAAATTTTTGGCTTGTTTTTTAAATTAATGAAACCACTGTAAGATAGCAAGAAATATTTTTGAAAAATAATAAGAAACATGTGTAATTTTCATATTTTTAGTTTGTAAATTAAATATTTTTTTTAAGTTAGTTTCTCACTGATATTATGTCATCAAAATCATTTTCTTTTGCAATGTCAATTGGAGTTTTCCCATCAGCATTTTTCTCATCAATATTTAGTCCAAGTGTAACTAAATATTTAAACATATCAATGCAATCTGATTTTGCAGCAATATGGAGCAAATTATCTTTATTATTGTTGTTGATATGGATATCAGCTCCAGAAGTAATGAGTATTTTAGCAGTATCAACATGGTTACCTTCAATTGCATAAATAAGTGATGAGTTTCCATGAATGTCAAGCTTATTTACATCTAAACCGTGCTTTATTAAAAATTTCGTTATATTTTCAGAACCAGTAATTGCGGATGTATGAAGTAAATTCATTCCTTTTTCATTTACTTCATTGAAATCAGCTCCATGAGAAATCAGAACTTTCAGAGCATCAACTGCCTCTGTTGCAGCTGCTATTTCCATGGGTGTTTCATCATCAAATTTTGTAGTTGGATCAAAACCATTTTCAATAAATGCTTCGACAACTTTTTCGCAATTGAACCGTATTGCAACATGAAATGCAGACTCACCATTTTCGTTGGTAACATTAATTGCTGCACCTTTTGAAATCAAATATTTAACCATTTCATGATGATTCCTTGATGCTGCTGCAAAAATAGGAGTTTCTTGATATTCATTTTGATAATTAACGTCAGCACCATTAGAAATAAGTAATTCTGCAACTTCTATTGCATTAATTGATGCTGCTTTAAACAGAGCAGTTTGTAGCATTTCATCAACTGCATCGATATCGCATCCTTTGTCGATGAAAAATTGACAAAGAGAAGGAATATCAAAAAGGGATGAAAAAGAAAAGCAATAATTCAAATCATCACAGTTATCAAAGAATATTAAAAATGCTTGTAAATTATTAAAACAACTGCAATTGAACAAGTTGATTGTCAATTGCTTTTGTAGTAAAAATGAAATAAAATCAACATTGTGGGAGATTATTGCGAAATCCATGCATTCATTGGAAAGTGTGCAATACTTTAGGCATTCATTAATAATCTCTGAACTGCCACCTAAAAATGAATATTTTAAGCAAGAATCTGTGAGTTTTGTCTGAAATTTTGATCTCAAAAGCTTGAAACAATTTGAAGAACCGTAATAAGTGCAAAGTTCAATCAAACTCATTTCTTCTTCAGGATACATTAAGTTTGTTATGATATCATTGTCTTGGAAGTCTTCTTTCTCAGAGCATTTGACGAATTCTTCGAAATTATCGTCCATAATTGCTCTGAAAACAGTACTTGGCTCGTGAACATCCAAAATGTAATTTGAATCTTTGAAAGATATTGATTCTTGTATGAATTTTGATGGTATTTCGACATTATAGACCGTATTTAAGAAATAAATACATATGGGATTAATATATTCAAAACTTGGATGATAATCTTCATAAATTTTATAAATTATTTCCATATATTCTTTTGTAAATCGATTTCTATAAAGAATTATGTAACTTATTCTATAAAATACATAGTATGGTGATAGTTGATACTTATTGATTAAAACTGATACAATTATTTTGTATATTTCTTTAACATCTTCAGATTTATGTGAATTGAGGCAATAAATCCTGTCCCATGCCTGGATGTAATCTTTATAAATCCCGAAAAGTTGATTATAATCATCATGTCTTGTTTGATTAGTGGCCATCAAAATTAATTAAAAGTGGCAAAATAAATTTCCCTTGAATTTGACTTTTAAAACGACCCCTTTTGGATTTCCTTGCCAATTGGAAGAAAATTATCAATCTTTTCTAAGTGTATCTTTTGAAAAAACGATTCATTCAAGATCAAATTTATTTTTTAAAATTTGAAATAATCATTTTAATTCCATTTTATATGTATATTGTAATAAACAGAAATTCATCAAAAGTGACAGCTCTCAATTTTTTGACATTTGTAAATTCTAAATTGAATGAGAAAAATGAAATAATACTAAGCATAATACAATATTCTAGATTTAATTATAATTAGGAAAAGTTAGTTTTGAGAGTACTTTTCATAGGCATATAGAATGAAATCTTCTGAAAAATAATATCACATAAACTCATATTATTTTCTAATATATAACTATTTTATATAAAAATCAAATTCAATGATCTTAAAAGCGAAGGATAAACCTCAAAATTTACGAATATAATGAGTGGGAATATAATGCTTATCTATCATAAAACCATATGAAATATCAATTTTTGCTTTACGCCTAATTTTTGACGACAATTAGCAAAAAATGTTAAATGTTAACACTCAGTCCATTTGAATATGAAAAATAAAATTGACTTTGATTAAATGTTTTTATTTATCATGCAATTCTTCTTGCGACCAAAGATTTGAATAAAAGTTCAAAAAATAAGATAGCTTAAAAAATAATATACGGTAGTGTTTACTAATAGATGAATAGTATATAAATTCTATTAAAATGGATTTGATCCAAAAAATATAAAACCAAAAATAATTGTTATAATTTAAATGAAGAAGTAATTTAAAACGATTTTATTTATGATCAAATTTTATATATTTTTTTGGATCAAATCCATTTTAATAGAATTTATATACTATTCATCTATTAGTAAACACTACCGTATATTATTTTTTAAGCTATCTTATTTTTTGAACTTTTATTCAAATCTTTGGTCGCAAGAAGAATTGCATGATAAATAAAAACATTTAATCAAAGTCAATTTTATTTTTCATATTCAAATGGACTGAGTGTTAACATTTAACATTTTTTGCTAATTGTCGTCAAAAATTAGGCGTAAAGCAAAAATTGATATTTCATATGGTTTTATGATAGATAAGCATTATATTCCCACTCATTATATTCGTAAATTTTGAGGTTTATCCTTCGCTTTTAAGATCATTGAATTTGATTTTTATATAAAATAGTTATATATTAGAAAATAATATGAGTTTATGTGATATTATTTTTCAGAAGATTTTGTGTTCTTCTTCAAAATTTTATTTTTTTTATTAAAAAGAATCTTTACAAAATATACATTTACTTTAATTAATATTTAAAAACGTGCTCTATCAAAAGTTCCAAAAATTCAATATTTTAGCTTTTCTGAGGTGTCACTTTTGATGAATTTCTGTTTACAACAATATGAAAATTTGTCCCAAAAATTTGTTAAATTACTCTTTTTCACGGTGAATTTTTTTTTGAATGTGACATATGCCCATCTTGAATATATAATATAATTAAAAACCATATATATAAAGATCAAATCAGTTATTTATTCTATGAAATGAAAAAATTAATAAAGATTACATTAGAATCATCGGCATGGTTAAAGATATAGAGAAACTGAAAGCATTAGGTTTTGATTTGCATGTGATGTATCCATTTGGACAATTAGTTGAAAAAGAATGATTTGGAATATCAAACTTCGATTTGAAAATCTGCGCAGCAGAAGTTGGACATGAAATAGCTCCGCATCTTCTTAACAAAGGACAACCATCAAATGCCATATCCTGTATTTCAGATAACTGAACTGATGTACCAAGGAAAAGAAATGATAAAGAAGAACAATCAGTAAATGATTGATAACCAATGGTCTTGATACTGCTCCCACTAAATATTATCCTAATTAGGTTTTTGCATGACATAAAAGCATAGCTTTGAATACTAACTGTATTAGGAGGCACAACAAAAGTCTGAATAGAAGAACAAGGAATGAATGTGTAAATCTTAGTCTCTGCGTAGTCAGTTAAAGCGCCATTACTAAATTTAAATTTTGTATCATCTTTTGAAACTGTAATTGAAAACAAATTAACGCATTCAACAAAACAACCTCCTAAAATAGTGATCAAATTACTTCCCAAACTTAATGAAACTCTATTCAAATTCGTACATCCTCTGAAAGCGAATGATTCTATATCCGTAAGACTTGCTGGAATGGTGAAAGATTCGATACTAGAACACTGATAAAAGGCTTTTGATTTTATTGTTTTTATTCCTTCATTGAGATTCAATCTTCTTAAATTTTGGCAACCGATAAAACACTCCAATGGAATTATTGGGCAACTAATTGTTACTTCTTCCAAAGATAAACAATTACTAAAGCATGAAAAATCAATTCTGTTCATAGTATTTTGAATGTTGAAGACTGTTAAACCACTATTAGAAAAAGCTTGTTCACTAACATTTATTAAATTGTTTAAAGATATATCACCGATTGCAGAACATGAATAGAATGCGAAAGTTCCAATGCTTCTTATCGATGATGGCAACTGAATATTGCTTAGTTTGTTGCACTGATTAAAGCAATAATCAGGAATTTCTGTTATCAAATTTCCATTGAAAACAACAGTTGTTAATTTCGAACAACTTCTGAAACATTCTTGTCCTAATGTCGTTAAACTACTAGGTAATGAACTCGATGTTATTGTTGATGAATCAAATGCTCTCTTACCAATTTTAGTTAATTGATCTCCATTGAAAGTAATTGTTTTGAGCTTTTTATTTACAAAACAAGAACCTCCGATCGAAGTCAATTCTGGTGGTGCATTAACAACAGCGTTTTCATCATCTCCAATGTATTGTAGCATATTTTTCCTTTCATCAGATAATAAAATATTTCCAGAAATTTCAAGCTTGCTATTTCCAGATGAGTAGAAAATCATTGTTGAGTTGCATCCTGTAAATGCACCTTCACCAATATAATCCAACTGATCCGAAATGTATAAACTTTGAAGACTCTTACAGTCAACGAAACAAGCGATACCAATCTTAGTATAGTCATTTGGAAGATTTATTGTTCTAAGTTTAGTACATCCTTGAAACAGACTAGTTCCTAATACTTTAATATTATTTGGAATTGTTATTTCTGTGATAGGTGTATATGCAAAAGCTAATGCATCAATTGCTAAAATATTCTCATGAAAACTTATACTTCTAACACTACATTTCCTAAAACAAGCAATTTTCAAATTCAATACGAACGATGGAACAACATAATCTTGATTAAAAGCCGAACTTACATACACCAAAGAATTATTGTTTTCTCCGGTGAATATTGATATAGAATCTGTTTTAAAATATGGATTATCAGGATCAATTTGAATTGATTCAAATTTGCAACCAAAAAATGTCTGTCCCATCATATGCTTAACATGCTTCGGAATGAAAATGGTCTTAATTCTTGATTCAGCAAAAGATTCAGCTCCAATTTTCGTCAAATTCGAGTTCCTGGAAATTTCAATTACATCAATTGTTCCTTTAAAAACACCGCTATCTTGTGCTGTATTGTCTTCAATTATTTCAACAGAGTCAGGCAGGACAATTCTTGATAATGCAGAGTCGTAATTGAAGCAGCCAGATCCAATGTAAGTGATTTTTGGAGGGAAATTTACTGTTTTTAATTTGGGACATTTTCGAAAAAGAGAGTTGTTTAATGCTAGCAAGTTGGTACAATATTGCATATCAACTGATTCGAGGTTGGATTCTGAGAAACAAAAGCTACAAATCGAAATACATTGACTAAACATAGCAAAAGTAATAGAAGTAATGAGACTTTTGCATCCAAAAAAGGGACTATCAGATAATTTTGTGCTGGAGCCAATATATTTGACAGTTGATGGAATCTCATATGAACCGTTGAGATTTTCTGGAGCCTTAATAAGGAATGTGAAATCATTATTATATATAACACCAAAATTATCCTCTTTACATATTAAAAATAATAACAAATAGCTTATTCACCAAACATTTTTTGCATTTATGCCACTTTTTGAGGACCAAATACAGAAACCTTGATATACTAGATAAAGTAAACCATTCAATTGCTGAAATGCTCAAAATTTTAAGATTTTTTTTTTCTTTTCATCGTTGGTGGCATATTGAAATAATAGCTTTTACATTGTAAACTTTTAGTCATTATGGACTCTATTTGAAAGTAATTTTTGAAAATAAAAAATATTCTTTATTTAATACAAATAATATACTCTATATATTTTAATTAATATTCTTAAGTAAATCTACGACATCATCAAATCCAAGTTTTGTTGCATATTGAATTAAAGAATCTCCTTCGAATTGGAGTTTACTACTAGCTCCAAGGGAAATGAGAAGAGATATGACTGGAATATTTCTCTTTTGGACTGCTTTTACCAACGGAAAAACTCCTTTTCTATTTTGACAATTCATATCAGCCTTGTATTGAGCTAGTATTTTGATAATTGCTTCATTTCCGGAAAGTGCAGCATAATGAACTGGCGAATTACCGTAGATATCGACATATTTAGGATCAATATTGTTTTGTAGCAAGTATTTAACTGCGTTTTCTGCTTTGCTTTCCACAGCTTTCATCAATAATAGCCCTCCAAATTTTGTTAAGAATTCCTTTTTCTTTTCGAATGTTTCCTCAAATGACTTTTCATCATCAAGATACTTAATCGCTGTATAAAAGTCCTTGTATAAGTCAATCATCTTCTTCATGTTTTCATCTTTTGTTCTTTCATATAATTTTGGAATTTTATGTGGTTTAAATCCAGCACGAATCAAAGTTTCAAATATTTCAATTTGGTTAAATGAAACAGCAATTTCAACAGCAGTATCTCCTTTCTTAGTCTTTGAATTCTTTGCTCCATTCTGACACAAAACAACTACGCATTTTGTGGCACCAACTGAAGTTGCAATATGAATCAAATGGAATCCATTCATTGCAAATTCCGGATCAAATCCTTTGGATAGTAACTCATTTAGCTGCTCTGAATCATCTTGCTTAATGATTTTATCTAAGTTTGTTACTTGTTTCTTATATTCATGCTTAATAATTTTTGTAATTTCTTCATTCTTGCACAAATCTTGAGGATATTTTCCGTCAGAATTTGTAAGAATAAGTGGATGATACTTCAAAACAATCTTACAAATTGTTTCATTGTTTGATAAAACAGCCAAATGAAGTATTGTGTTGTTACTAGATAATTGGTCTCTAAAGTTAACATTCGCATTGTTTTTAAGGAGCATTAAGACAGATTTTTCAAACTTACTTTTAATAACTTCACATAAAATTTGATTTTGATACTCGCTTCTCAATGTCTTACTTGTATTGAGCAATTTCTTTAGGTTCTTGTGATCATTAAGCATAGAATATAAAAGCTTCTTTCCATAGTTCATTAATAATTGTTTCATTTCTTCTTTCTTGGCATATTCGATTGGCGAATCTCCATTTGAATCTGCAATAAGTTGTGCATATTTGTTGATGAGTAATTTTGCTGTTTCAATCATATTTTTGAGTGCAGCAAAATGAAGAGGTGTTTTCTTCATTGAATTTTGAGTATTAATATCTGCTTCATGCTCAATCAAATAGTTTGATAATTTAGAAAGACCAGCAGCTGCTGACCAATGCAATAAAGTATTATCATCTTCGTCTTTTGCATCCAATTGCATCAAACCATTTTCGACTGATTGAATCAAATAGTTTTCATCACCACTTTTGAGAAAAGTCAAAATCTCTTCAGATGAAACTGATGATACTATATTGAAATGTTTTCTCATAATAAACCAAATTTCATTTTCTTTCTTACATTTACCTCTATTATTCATAGCAAGATCAAGCTCGGACATTCCATTTTCTGATATCCTAGCTCCATTTTCAAGAAGTAATTTTGTAATTTCTACATTACCATGTTCAATTGCTAAATAAAGAGCTGATTTGTTTTCATTAGAACGAACATTAACATCTATTCCTAATGCTAATAAGGCAGTAACTAATTGAGTTCTATTATTCTTTGATGCAGCATGCAACAACGTTTCATTATCTTGGTTCTTTATGTTTATTGGATATCCTATATTATACAAAATTTTAAGGGCTTCAGAGCTTCCAAGTTCGAATGCGGCGAAGGCAAATTCCGAAACATTGCCTCGGAGGAAATCATAATATTGATCGAATTGTTTGTTTTCAATTACAAACACAATTTGTTTCTTTAAATATTCTCTTTGAACTGGATCAATAATTTTAGTTGGTGGTTGTGATATGTCACTATATGAAATTGTATCTGAAACATCTTCGTTTTGAGATGAAGAATCAAATTCGATCTTTTTCTTATTATTGACTAGTTCACTTAAGTAGGAAGCTTTATCAGATTGAGATGAATCATGATTTATTTTTGCATCAATGATAGGTTGCTGATGAATCTTATCTGAAGAGTTATTAATTTCAGAGCTTTCTTGGGGAATTTTCTCGCTGATTTGTGAATCAATATTGATATCTTTTTGTTTAATCTGGGAATAATTTGAAATAGAATTTGTGATATTTTGCTGAACTTCACGTTGTAGACTTTGGTTAGGGGTATTATCAGGGGATGATGTAGGAATTTCTGAATTCGAGGAGCAAGCAGAATTAGAATCATTAGGAAGTGGATCTTTTTGTTCAGAAATCTGATTTGTAGGAAGATTAATTTGCTGATTGTTGCTTATTGGAAGAAGTTCTTGTTCAAGTGACACTTCATTAGGATGACATTCTGCATGTTGTATATTATCAATTGGAGGAAGTTCTTCGTTCGAGGATGCTTCAATTTGAGGAAGTTCTTTATTAACATTGGCTTCAATAGGAGGACTATCAGCTTGATGATTATTATCAATTGGAGGATTTTTTCCATTTAAAGATATATCAAGTGGAGAAAGTTCTGTTTGTTGATTATTAACGATTGGAGGAAGCTCTTGATTCACAGGCATTTCAATTGGAGTAAGCTCAGATTGTTGATTAATATCAATTGGAAGGTGTTCTTTTTCTGAAGAGATAACAACCGAAGGAGGTTCTCCCTTCAATGATGTTTCAATTGGTGGAAGTTCTGTTTGTTGATTAGAATCAATTGAAGGAACAACTTCATTTTCTGTAGATTGTAGCTCCACTTGTTGTTTGATATCAATCGAAGGAAGTTCCCCATTCAATGATGTTTCAATTGGAGGAAGTTCTATTTGTTGATTAGATTCAATTGGCGGAAGATCTCCATTCAGTGGTTTTTCAATTAGAGAGAGATCTCCAGCTAATGACGCACCATGGTGGGGAAGTTCCTTTTCTTCTTCATTTTTACATGGAACAAGCTCTGTTTTCTGTTTACTATCAATTGGAGGAAGTTCTCCATTCAATGATGCATCGATTGGTGGAAGTTCTATTTGTTGTTTGGAATCGGTTGGAGAAAGATCTGTATGTTGATTAGATTCAATTGGTTGAAGTTCTCCCTTCAATGATGTTTCAATTTGAGGAAGTTCTGATTGCTGATTGGAATCGATTGGAGGAAGTAGAGTTTGTTGATTAGAATCGATTGGAGGAAGTTCTGTTTGATTAGATTCAATTGGTGGGAGACTTCCAGTTAATGATGCATCAATTGGTGGAAGTTCTGTTTGTTGATTGGAATCGATCGGAGGAAGATCAACATTTAATGATGTATCAATTGGAGGGAGTTCTATTTGTTGATTAGATTCAATTGGAGGAAGTTCTGTTTGATTAGATTCAATTGGTGGGAGACTTCCAGTTAATGATGCATCAATTGGTGGAAGTTCTGTTTGTTGGTTGGAATCGATCGGAGGAAGATCAACATTTAATGATGCATCAATAGGTGGAAGTTCTCCAGTTAATGATGCATCAATTAGTGGGAGTTCAGTTTGCTGATCAGATTCAATTGGAGGAAGATCAACATTTAATGATGCATCAATAGGTGGAAGTTCTCCGGTTAATGATGCATCAATTAGTGGGAGTTCAGTTTGCTGATCAGATTCAATTGGAGGAAGTTCTGTTTGTTGATTAGATTCAATTGGAGGAAGATCTCCATTTAATGATGCATCAATAGGTGGAAGTTCTGTTTGTTGATTAGATTCAATTGGAGGAAGATCTCCATTTAATGATGCATCAATAGGTGGAAGTTCTCCAGTTAATGATGCATCAATTAGTGGGAGTTCAGTTTGCTGATCAGATTCAATTGGAGGAAGTTCTGTTTGTTGATTGGAATCGATCGGAGGAAGATCAACATTTAATGATGTATCAATTGGAGGGAGTTCTTTTTGCTGATTAGATTCAATTGGAGGAAGTTCTGTTTGATTAGATTCAATTGGAGGAAGTTCTGTTTGATTAGATTCAATTGGTGGAAGTTCTGTTTGATTAGATTCAATTGGAGGAAGTTCTGTTTGATTAGATTCAATTGGTGGAAGTTCTCCGTTTAACGATGTATCAATTGGAGGAAGTTCTGTTTGCTGATTAGATTCAATTGGTGGAAGTTCTGTTTGATTGGAATCGATTGGTGGGAGACATCCAGTTAACGATGCATCAATTGGAGGAAGTTCTCCATTCAATGATGCATCCATTGGAGGCAGATCTTTATGAAATGACACATCAAATTGAGGCAGTTCTTGCTGAATTGACAAATCTGTTGGAGCAAAACCGAGTTGTATATTGTGGTCTGATAAGGAAGGTATTGGGGAGTCGCTCTGTTGTCCGAAAAAAGTTGTCGATTGATAGTCATCAATTAATAACTCTTCAATAGGTGGTGCATTTTTAACAAATATATTGCCATCTTCAATAAGAGGAATTGAATTATTAGAAGTATTATCAATTGCAAGTGGGCTTAAATCAAATGGTTGTTGTATTTTATTATTTGATTCTTCAGATGAAAGGCCCAACTCCATCTCCAACGAACTATCTTCCGATGAGTTCTTAATAAAATTTGCAGCTTCGGAAAAGCCCATTTGTTCAGCTATATAAGATGGTGTTCTTTGATAATTATCTGGTTCATCCTTTAATCCTTTTTCAATGAGTTTTTTAATCATATATAAATTCCCAACTAAAGCAGCTATATGTAATGCAGTGCATCCATCTTGTGAATTTTTTGTATGGATGTCAGAAAATTGAATTAAAATATCAAACCCTGTTTGGTCAAGACTTTCAATAGAAATCATTAGTGGAGTATATCCACGGAAATTTAAATCATTCACACCACATCTTTTCGAAGCCATCCATTGAACAACTTCATAATTTTTTGCAATTAATGCAAACATCAATGGATTTCTTCCTTCTTGTTGATCTTTTATAGACCAATCAGCTCCATTATTATAGAATAACTCAATAGCATTTAGTTTACCTGTATATGCAGCATAAAAAGTTGGAGTCCAATTAAATTATAAAGAATTCCATTAAAAAATAATGAATTTCAGCAACTTCATTCATTACTGACTTATTGGTATCTATAATCTTTTGGATTTCGACCAAATTATCTTCCCCAATAAATTGATAAATGGTCAACTTGAAAAAAAAAATAAAAACCGTTAACTAACGTTCTATTCTCCTTTGAAGGAAGAATCAGAAGGATCCTCTATCTCTGAAAATTCAGAATTATCTAATTAATATGTATAATTTGTTTATTATGAATAACTCTTGTGATAAGAGATGGACTATAACTTAGATAAGTTTCAATAATATCAAAATGATATGTTTCCAGAATTAAGTAATTCTGATAACTTAAGCAAAACGGATGACGTTTTGGAATTTTGGTGGATATCAAACCCAGATTTTTCTAAAATATTTTTAACGGATTTCAAAAGCTTTTGGCTTTGAATTCTGGTGATCTTCTTCTTCTCTGTATTTTCTTTATATTCGTGTCTGCTTGGAGAGTGGAAACATTTTCTATATTTTGGAGAAGATTGACTGAAAACACTGTAAACACTACGAGAATCATCAGGTGTGCTTCGTATATATGGAGGAAAACTTGCACTTGATTCACTATCAACGGCTTCAAAATTGTAAAGTTCATCTAAATTAAATTTATTGATCTCCATTTGAACTTCTCCAATATCTATTGGATAGTCAATCTGTAATCCTGCATTTATAAGCTTATAAGCTTGTTTTGGAACAGTTTTAGCATAATCGCGATATTTCTTTGGAATAGCATGTCCATTATAGACAACAAGGTTTGGACATATTATAAGTAATGAAATAATTATATTTTCCTGTAGGGATGCGACGGTTTTACGCCATGACCGTTTAAAAATAGAATAATACGCCATGTTTGGGGCCGAATGGCGGGTACGAAGTAGCCGCCATTCGGCCGAAAGACAAAACAATATAAAATTATCGCCGCCCCTTTTTTTCTTTCTCTTTTCTCTTTTTCCCCTCTTTCTCTTTTTCACTCATTAAAAGTAGTTAGAGAAAAAAATAATATTAATTTTTAAAATTTTTATAAAAATAAAAGAAAGTATTATAAGAAATTATTTAGAGATTTATATGCAAAGTGTTAAGAATAATCTGAGGACAAGACTAAGGATAATCTGAGGATAATCTGAGGATAGTCTGAGGATAATCTGAGGAGTAGTCTGAGGATAATCTGAGGAGTAGTTCGAGGATAATCTGAGGAGTAGTTCGAGGATAATCTGAGGAGTAGTTCGAGGATAATCTGAGGAGTAGTCTGAGGACTAGTCTGAGGAGTAGTTCGAGGATAATCTGAGGAGTAGTCTGAGGATAATCTGAGGAGTAGTCTGAGGATAATCTGAGGAGTAGTTGGAGGATAATCTGTGGAGTAGTCTGAGGATAATCTGAGGATAATCTGAGGAGTAGTTCGAGGATAATCTGAGAATAATCTGAGGAGTAGTCTGAGGATAATCTGAGGAGTAGTTCGAGGATAATCTGAGGAGTAGTCTGAGGAGTAGTTCGAGGATAATCTGAGGAGTAGTCTGAGGAGTAGTCTGAGAATAATCTGAGGAGTAGTTCGAGGATAATCTGAGGAGTAGTCTGAGGAGAAGTTCGAGGATAATCTGAGGAGTAGTCTAAGGAGTAGTTCGAGGATAATCTGAGGAGTAGTCTAAGGAGTAGTTCGAGGATAATCTGAGGAGTAGTCTGAGGAGTAGTTCGAGGATAATCTGAGGAGTAGTCTAAGGAGTAGTTCGAGGATAATCTGAGGAGTAGTCTAAGGAGTAGTTCGAGGATAATCTGAGGAGTAGTCTGAGGAGTAGTTCGAGGATAATCTGAGGAGTAGTCTGAGGAGTAGTTCGAGGATAATCTGAGGAGTAGTCTAAGGAGTAGTTCGAGGATAATCTGAGGAGTAGTCTGAGGAGAAGTTCGAGGATAATCTGAGGAGTAGTCTGAGGAGTAGTTCGAGGATAATCTGAGGAGTAGTTCGAGGATAATCTGAGGAGTAATTCGAGGATAATCTGAGGAGTAGTCTAAGGAGTAGTTCGAGGATAATCTGAGGAGTAGTCTAAGGAGTAGTTCGAGGATAATCTGAGGAGTAGTCTGAGGAGTAGTTCGAGGATAATCTGAGGAGTAGTCTAAGGAGTAGTTCGAGGATAATCTGAGGAGTAGTCTAAGGAGTAGTTCGAGGATAATCTGAGGAGTAGTCTGAGGAGTAGTTCGAGGATAATCTGAGGAGTAGTCTAAGGAGTAGTTCGAGGATAATCTGAGGAGTAGTCTAAGGAGTAGTTCGAGGATAATCTGAGGAGTAGTCTAAGGAGTAGTTCGAGGATAATCTGAGGAGTAGTCTGAGGAGTAGTTCGAGGATAATCTGAGGAGTAGTCTAAGGAGTAGTTCGAGGATAATCTGAGGAGTAGTTCGAGGATAATCTGAGGAGTAATTCGAGGATAATCTGAGGAGTAGTCTGAGGAGTAGTCTGAGGAGTAGTTCGAGGATAATCTGAGGATAATCTGAGGAGTAGTCTAAGGATAATCTGAGGAGTAGTCTGAGGAGTAGTCTGAGGAGTAGTTCGAGGATAATCTGAGGAGTAGTTCGAGGATAATCTGAGGAGTAGTTCGAGGATAATCTGAGGATAATCTGAGGAGTAGTCTGAGGATAATCTGAGGAGTAGTTCGAGGATAATCTGAGGATAATCTGAGGAGTAGTCTGAGGATAATCTGAGGAGTAGTTCGAGGATAATCTGAGGAGTAGTCTAAGGATAATCTGAGGATAATCTGAGGAGTAGTTCGAGGATAATCTGAGGATAATCTGAGGAGTAGTTCGAGGATAATCTGAGGAGTAGTCTGAGGATAATCTGAGGAGTAGTCTGAGGATAATCTGAGAATAATCTGAGGAGTAGTCTGAGGATAATCTGAGAATAATCTGAGGAGTAGTCTGAGGATAATCTGAGGAGTAGTCTAAGGATAATCTGAGGAGTAGTCTAAGGAGTAGTTCGAGGATAATCTGAGGAGTAGTCTAAGGATAATCTGAGGATAATCTGAGGAGTAGTTCGAGGATAATCTGAGGATAATCTGAGGAGTAGTCTGAGGATAATCTGAGGAGTAGTCTGAGGATAATCTGAGGAGTAGTCTGAGGATAATCTGAGAATAATCTGAGGAGTAGTCTGAGGATAATCTGAGAATAATCTGAGGAGTAGTCTGAGGATAATCTGAGGAGTAGTCTAAGGATAATCTGAGGAGTAGTCTAAGGAGTAGTTCGAGGATAATCTGAGGAGTAGTCTGAGGAGTAGTCTGAGGAGTAGTCTGAGGATAATCTGAGGAGTAGTCTGAGGATAATCTGAGGAGTAGTCTGAGGATAATCTGAGGAGTAGTCTGAGGATAATCTGAGGATAATCTGAGGAGTAGTCTGAGGATAATCTGAGGAGTAGTCTGAGGATAATCTGAAGACTAGTCTGAGGATAATCTGAGGAGTAGTCTGAGGATAATCTGAGGAGTAGTTCGAGGATAATCTGAGGAGTAGTCTGAGGAGTAGTTCGAGGATAATCTGAGGAGTAGTCTGAGGATAATCTGAGGAGTAGTCTGAGGAGTAGTTCGAGGATAATCTGAGGAGTAGTTCGAGGATAATCTGAGGAGTAGTTGGAGGATAATCTGTGGAGTAGTCTGAGGATAATCTGAGGATAATCTGAGGAGTAGTTCGAGGATAATCTGAGAATAATCTGAGGAGTAGTCTGAGAATAATCTGAGGAGTAGTTCGAGGATAATCTGAGGAGTAGTCTGAGGAGTAGTTCGAGGATAATCTGAGGAGTAATCTGAGGAGTAGTCTGAGAATAATCTGAGGAGTAGTTCGAGGATAATCTGAGGATAATCTGAGGAGTAGTCTGAGGATAATCTGAAGACTAGTCTGAGGATAATCTGAGGACAAGACTAAGGATAATCTGAGGAGTAGTCTGAGGATAATCTGAGGATAATCTGAGGATAATCTGAGGAGTAGTTCGAGGATAATCTGAGGATAATCTGAGGAGTAGTCTGAGGATAATCTGAGGAGTAGTTCGAGGATAATCTGAGGAGTAGTCTAAGGATAATCTGAGGAGTAGTCTAAGGAGTAGTTCGAGGATAATCTGAGGAGTAGTCTGAGGATAATCTGAGGAGTAGTCTGAGGATAATCTGAGGATAATCTGAGGAGTAGTCTAAGGATAATCTGAGGAGTAGTCTGAGGATAATCTGAGGAGTAGTCTAAGGAGTAGTTCGAGGATAATCTGAGGAGTAGTCTGAGGAGTAGTCTGAGAATAATCTGAGGAGTAGTTCGAGGATAATCTGAGGAGTAGTCTGAGGATAATCTGAGAATAATCTGAGGAGTAGTCTGAGGATAATCTGAGGAGTAGTTCGAGGATAATCTGAGGAGTAGTCTGAGGATAATCTGAGAATAATCTGAGGAGTAGTTCGAGGATAATCTGAGGAGTAGTCTGAGGATAATCTGAGAATAATCTGAGGAGTAGTCTGAGGATAATCTGAGGAGTAGTTCGAGGATAATCTGAGGAGTAGTTCGAGGATAATCTGAGGAGTAGTCTGAGGACTAGTCTGAGGAGTAGTTCGAGGATAATCTGAGGAGTAGTTCGAGGATAATCTGAGGAGTAGTCTGAAGAGTAGTCTGAGAATAATCTGAGGAGTAGTTCGAGGATAATCTGAGGAGTAGTTCGAGGATAATCTGAGGATAATCTGAGGAGTAGTCTGAGGATAATCTGAGGAGTAGTCTGAGGAGTAGTTCGAGGATAATCTGAGAATAATCTGAGGAGTAGTCTGAGAATAATCTGAGGAGTAGTTCGAGGATAATCTGAGGATAATCTGAGGAGTAGTCTAAGGATAATCTGAGGAGTAGTCTGAGGATAATCTGAGGAGTAGTCTAAGGAGTAGTTCGAGGATAATCTGAGGAGTAGTCTGAGGAGTAGTCTGAGAATAATCTGAGGAGTAGTTCGAGGATAATCTGAGGAGTAGTTCGAGGATAATCTGAGGAGTAGTCTGAGGATAATCTGAGGAGTAGTCTGAGGAGTAGTTCGAGGATAATCTGAGGAGTAGTCTGAGGATAATCTGAGGAGTAGTTCGAGGATAATCTGAGGAGTAGTCTGAGGATAATCTGAAGACTAGTCTGAGGATAATCTGAGGAGTAGTCTGAGGACTAGTATGAGGATAATCTGAGGATAATCTGAGGACTCGTCTGAGGATAATCGAGTAGGGGGAATTTTAGCTAAAAGTGACACGCATGTAAAAAGTGACACACTCATGAAGGGTGTGATTACCGATCGGTAATTTCGACAGTTTAGAATTTAAAATTTTTTATGGAACTGTTGCGAGTTTCATAAAGAATTTAAGGATACCCTTACGTGTCAGATTTTTTGCGCATACGAAGAAGTCATGCTAGACATGAGCTATAAACCTGAAATTTTAGCAACATATTTAAAACTTTTTAAACTACAATACACTTTAATATTCAAGAACAAAAATATTCTTTTTAGAAATTACATAATTATTTTATGTGAAATCTATATAAAACATATTTTGCGAGCGTAACTTTTTTTCTTTATAAGCACCTTATATGACTGATAAACTGTGAAGGCACATAATGTTAATTCATAGAGTTGATATGTTTCCAATTGAGAGGAAATTTGAAAATTGAATACCCTTTCAATTCAATTTTCAAAAGATATCAGCTCCTTCAATAATTGAAGGACGATTTTGATCATTTGCTCTTAAAACAAGTATGCCATGGAGAAAAAAGTTACGCTCGCAAATCTGAAATATAACTATAATATAAAAATTAAATTTCTAATTTTTTACTCTATAGATATTATTGGCCACTTGTGTAATGCATAAAATTTATGTCATATGCATATTATTTGGAAGTATGGGAGACGAGGGAAATTACTTCTATGAGGCACTAGGATTTTTAAAAATTTCTCTATCGGACTCACCATTCAATTTCTCGAAAATTAAAAAAATCAATAATAGCTAAAATGTATTATGCATAACAAATTTTAATGTTACACGGTATTTTTTTGAACTTCATGAATGAATTTTCTTTATATTATTTTTTTTGGATTTTCTATGATTTATGCGATAGGCTGGAACAACATTGTAAGTGCAATGATATCATTTATAGAGAAATCTAAAACTTCAGCATTCAGAACTCGCAACCACAAAAATATTCATTTGCTAAGTAAGTAAAGTTGATTAAGTTCGACACTTAGCTTTTATACGTAAAACCAAGTGTGTATTGTTATTTCTTGTTAAATTATTGAGAAAAAAATAAATTGTAAGAGAAACGATACTGATTATTGAAATAATATTGAGGGTAGCTGCAGATTTCTTCATTAACATGCCGGAAATTTGTTAATCTTGGTTTTCTATCATAAAATCTGTCGAAGAATCTAAAAACGGAGATATGAAATAGAGATCATGTAAATCTAGAGTATCCTGTCAGAAAAATAGACTAAGCATGTAACCCTTTTTTGGTCATAAACACTTTTTACCACTTAGTCATACAGATGATCATTAAATTTAAACGAGCACTTTTTGTCAGAATTTATTCTTTTACAAAGACAGAAGATTTTAGTATTATTTAATATTAGTGCTGTAGCAAAATTCAAAAAACGGTGAAAATTCAGTGAATTTGTGAATTCACATTTTTTTCGACATTTTTCTTGATATATCCATGCACATTAAGAACACAGCTTTGATACGCTTAAAAAAGCATATTTCATATGAAATTGTTAAAGAAATAAACAATTTATATAAAAATTGCACTTATGGGCAGTTTAGATATATAATTTATATATAACATATATACAAATCCATAGACAAAGTGCAATAACTACAATGTTGTAGAAAATTACAGCAGAAATACTGACTTTTTGAAGGATAATAAGAATTCTTCTAAATGTTGTATTTTTATAATTTGATTGATTTTTTTTACTATTTCATTAATCTTTTATGAATAATAATTATTTTTAATATATGTGCTATTAAAATTTCAAATTTTGACTAATATATCTAAGTTATCTGAACGAAACATTTAGAAAATATCATACTTACATTGAAATAGCAAGTAGAGCATATTAATAGCAAGTTTCTTGGCTTTATATCTATCATCTATTGTTGTTTGATCAAACAAAATTCACTCTATTATATGGTGTCAATTAATTAAAACAATTTTTAATAGTTATTTATTTAGTGCGAATAAGTGCAAACTCATAAATGAATAACTTAATAGTAGAAATGAATTATCTGATATAAATCTCACATTTTGTCCATCAGAAATACTTTAATTGCATACGCATAACTATTAGTAATACGTCTGGAGTGTCAATTAATAACAATCCCACAACAAGTAAAATTCAGATTTTTATTAAACTTATTTTTTCCTAAAAGTTTTCTCAAATTACTATATATACATATGTGGATAAAATAATAGTAATATTGTAAAAAATTAGATAATTTTTTTTATTTGAGAACCTCTCAAAAGTTCATTCAATTTATCAATTGTTTCAGTTTGATGTATATTCATTTCTGGAGCCTAAAACTTTAGCAATCATGACAATATCATATTCTCTTTCTAACTACGCAATGTAAGGGTATCCTTAAGGAATATAAGCAAAGATTTGAATCAAAATCTTAGACCTAAGCCGCTCGATTCGCTCGCGGCTTCCGCGAATTACAGATCAGCAAAGATTTGAATCAAAATCTTCGAACTAAGCCGATCGCTTCGCTCGCGGCTTTCTTTATTATTTTAAATTTGCATATTTCCATCAAAAGTTCATAAGGTAAAAAATTTCGTTTATTTTTACTAAGAAAAAAAAGGTTTTTGATAATAAATTTATTTTATTTCGAAAAAGTAGCAATAATCGTAAAAGGGTATTGATAGGCTTGCTAAAGTAACTAATTTTAGCTGTCAAATACTTTTGTATTTTGAAGTAAATTAGTATAAATTTGATATTATTTTAACTCCCTTTGAAAACCTCAATTTTCCATACAGAGGGAACGGGAATAGCATCCAATATTCCCTGAGAATGGTTGCGCATTCTCAGTTCCCTCTATATTTCGAACGAAGCTCTCATCGGTCTTTTTTTTTAATACTAAACGTTTTTTTCCCTGTCACTTTTAGCTAAAATTTGGGTTTGCCGAGGATAATCTGAGGAGTAGTCTGAGGATAGACTGAGGATAACCTGAGGAGGATTAATCTAAGGAGGATTAATCAAAGGAGAAATACTCTAAGGTAGAGCAGTTGGATCACTACTCAACCACAATTTACTTTTAACCATTTTTTGAATTCTTATTCAAAATAAAAACACATTTTTATATAATTCTCTTATTTATTTTAATTTGATAATATTTATTGATTATATTTCAGATCACTCAATTAAAAAAAGCCGTCTTTCTTTCAAAATTTCTGAATTATTATCCTTTCAATTTTAATGAATAAAATCATATTTATTCTTCTTTAAAACACTTCATTTCTTTAAGGGTGCACACGAGAGGATCATGTAAACTTCAGAATTTAGAACCTTATTTTTAGGCATTATCTTGGCTACCTATTTAGGCTCGAAAAGCAAAAAATATCAAAAAATACAACTTGACTCCATTATGACCCTTTCATGGAGGTAGTTTTTATCCGCTAGTATTTTCCCTTTGAATCTCTTTACAATTCGAAATCAAATTCAAATCTCAGTAGAAGAAAGGAAGAATCGACTTACTACGGTTGTAATACGAATAAATACATATATTTAATTATTTTACATAATAATTGTTTGAAGCTCATATTCCATCAAATTTTTAAATAAAAACATTAAAATGTTGAAAATGTTCAATATTTTAATAGGGTTTTGGCACTTTATTGAGGAATTACTACATACATAGTCGAACTGAACTTGATATTTTGAAATTTAAATTATTTATCAAAATTAAAATTTAACTTGAAATTTATAATTATTTAGTCATATTTTGCATAATTCTAAGTAGATTTTGTAAAAAATCAAGAAAGAAAAATTTTAACGTGCTTTATTTTTTCTTTTTTATAATAATACATATTATTATATAATTAACATATTCATAATGTTTCACCCTTTCAAAAATATAATCCTCCTCCTCTCAAATAAACGTACATACGGGTGGCCTCTTTTTTCAAAAAATTAAAATTTGAAATTTTGGGCTCAAATATTAGAGATTTTTTCAACCTTCAACGATATATGTTGTCTATATCAGACCTCCTTTCTTTTTGATACTTAACATTGTTCCTAAATCTTAGCCGTTAAGGCTGTTCTGAAAATATTTTTTTTCGACAAAAATCGAAAAAAATACTTAAAATTCAAAAATCCCTTAATTCCTGAGGATTTTGGAAAAAAGTTTTTACATGAACATGTGTATATTATATGAAGTATATTGATAAGGTAAAAATCAAATTTTATTGCATATTCATCGAGAAAATAAACTAACGAATCCCTCAAAATTGAGAGGGTAATCCTCCTCCTCTCAAATAAACGTACATACGGGTGCACCCTTAATTGTAGTGTTGCTTACTGCAACACTTAAACCAATTGTGGATTCCATTGAATGGCCTTCAATGGAATTCACAATTGGTTTAAAATTAGTTGATGCATATCCTATGTATGGTCCTAATATGGTCTGGCCAACCATATTCTAGTTGGAAATACATAGGATAGTATCACTAATCAATACAATACATAACAAAGTTAAATGCGAAAACAAAATCAAATTACAAAATCGTTCAAAACGAAGAATGAATACAAAAACACCTATGCACTGAGGCTGGCCACCTCAGTGCATTTCGAATAAACATACAAGTATATACAATTTAAAAAAAATATTTTATAATTTTTACAAAGACAAGAGCAACTATGTTTTCCAACTAGCTCCCTTCATGATCTTTAGCCTAGCGTCCATTAATTCCTTACTCATGTTTAAATTTGAACAAGTTAAGATGAGACGCTGGGCTGAGATTGTTCTTTCACAGCTTGCCTCCGCACAAGTGCAGCAAGTTATGCGGAGGCATATATTTGCGAACAATCCCCAATTTTCATCATTGATTTTAAAATTAAAATCAAAAATGTCCAAGCCACTTACAGTTCTTGATGTTTTAAAGATATGATTGTTATTGGCAATCATATCTTTAAATAGTTTAACTATATCATCAATCACATCATCACTACGTCCTCTTTTTTTGAGTTCGCTTGTGAACCAGCTAATTGCAGCATCAACCATCGGAGAATCACAGAGCTCTTCACCCTCAGTATCATCATTACTCTCATGAACTTCTTCCTGCTCATGAAGATCTTCATTGAATCTATTAAGATCCTGGGCTGGCCAATTGTGCTTCAACGAGGGTGCTGGTGGTTCGGTGTTTCCTTCTGCTTCAGCGGCGGCGTCTCCCATGAAGATTTCCCTGACATCTTCTATCGGGTCTTCCTCTTTCTGCCGGTAGTGGAACATCTTCACGTAGCCGCTTGTTGGGGGAGGGAATTCTCTGCTATTGATACTGTTCCTAGCAAACATGAGGCCTTTGGGTGTAATGATGTATGCGAATGCCCAAAGGCCTCCCATTTGCGAATGAATGGTCTTCTCAAGCAAGATGTCCCTAAAGATTCTGGCGAATCTGTTGTTTTCGGCATCAAGCTCTTCCAGGGCCTTCATTGCATTATAGATGCAGGGATAGACCCTGGAAAGTGGAGACTTCGGGTCTTCGAAGATCAGGACCAAGCTGGCGAAGATGACGGAACACTTATAAAGATCTTCTGTTCCGTCAGGAATGGAATGGAATAATGTCACCTTCGCCCGCTTGGTCCAGATAAAATGGAGAGGATAGATGAAGGATACCCATCTTGTTTCGACATTGGATGGGCATCTTGATCCAAAACCTCGACATGCTGGCGGCATATTTCGGCAACTTCCAGCAATTGATCCTTCAATGGTGAAATTGCTGGATGGTTCATTGCCGCCTTATAAGCATTGTGTACCCTGTGGCAAATACAGGGTACAACAATGAATTCTTTCATCCATTGCACCTTGGATAAGGCAAGGATGGAATTATCCTTACCAGTAAGTGCAGCCAATTGTGCTGTTCCTCCATCAACTATGACACAAGTTAGTATGGGTTAGTTGGGTATGGTGGCACTGCGAGCCTCCTTACCCATTATATGTGAATTTGACACTTTACAAAACCGTTAACGTATATTTTACAAATCAAACGCAAAAACCAACTTAACCTTAAATATTTACAAAACCACCAACCATTTCACCTCACTAACGAACTCACTAATGAAAAAATAAACGTTCTCATAAATTTTCTTCAATATCTTCATCGTCAATGTTAACTCTATTGTAGTCATACTTGAAGTCATAAAGTTTCTCAAGTTTTGAAATGCATAGTCTTGTTAACTTACCTTCATCATCATAAGTTTTTATAAAACTACCATGACAATCTTTATAAACAGTCAGTGTATAGTCAACTGGTCTAGGATGAAGTGTAAAGAACATGTTATACTCAGGAAGGAAGAATAAATGTTTAAATGTATGTTTGTTATATTTTTCGATTTGTATGGGTTGCTTTTGTTCTGTCATTTATATAAAAATAAAATAAAAATAAAATATAAAAATAAACTTAAAAATAAAATAAAAAATAAAATATAAAAATAAACTTAAAAGCTAATGATATCACTACCTTCACGCGTATGAAAACATAGCACAAAAATAAATTTAGGGTAGAAGGTTAGATCTAACCCGATAACTACCCTCTTTTCTACCCTGTTGAATTCATTGCTTTATAACTCTCTTCCTTGGTTTCTTTTTAGTTGCTTTCTTCACGTCTGTCTCCAACTTGACTGTCTTTCTTCTTCGTCCGTAATGATACCAGTTACTTCCACCAGTCAATGGGTCAAATGGTCTTTCGTAAGGGTTTCCATACATTCCATAGGGACCATACGGAAGAACTACTAGTGGAGAAGAAACATTTTCTTTAGTTCCATCGACTCTATTTAAATGCATTGTTTCACATTTCATCTGGTCATTAAAGTCTTTTGCGTGTTTTGCAAACTCATCGTCCTTTCCTAAAGCATTTTCTGACTCAGTCGCAACCAAATTGGATGCTTTATTTATGAGCCCTATTTTATTTAATCTTAACTTCTTTGCAACCCAGCCTCCAATCTTTCCTTTATTTGCATCTAATGTCTTTGAAACCCTTCCTCCACTCATTTTATTTACTGCGTCATAAGCTCCAAGTGCTTTTGCTCCAAATGCTAATGCTTTTGTTCCCATTGCGCCTAAAGCTGCCCAAGCTACCAATTACACCATATTAAAATCATCTCTCTTCAATATTATCTCATAAAAGTTCTCGTTACTTGAGAAAGTCAATGAAACATAAACGTTCTCACGGGCTTCGCCCTCACCGCTTTGCGGTCTATCTAACTTATTTCTTATATCATCTATACGCTTCAAAATGTCTGAACAATTGCTAACATCTTCTACAACAATTATTTCATCATGAGTGACCTTCAAAAACAAACTCATTTAATATGCTATTAAAATCATCTCAATAATGAGTCCATCCTTTCCATCTTTAGGTAGCACAACATCTTTCATTGAAGAAGGTTCGACAAGTCTTATGTTAAACTTACTGACAAAGTTTGTTATACTATAATGCTTCGGCGGCGAATACATGTAGTTTGAAAGACATAATATAGATTCTTCAGCAAATTCACTTATACTGGATTTTATAACAATGTTCTCACGAGACCAAATACCACCAATTGAAAAACTTGTAAGCAATCCTGCTGAACCTTCAACTGTAAACGTCGATGGTAACATTCCACGAAGGTCATCTATTGACATCGTTGAGTCACTGTATTTAAATATTTTCTTAAAGCAATCGTCATTATCTAACCATGCAATAGCTTTGAAGTTTTCATTCGAATATACATCTGCTTCATTAAATGTAAAACCTGACTTCTTTGCAGAGACGACTTTAAAATCTATTGAGTTTGTTTCAAAATTATATGCTATGGTAACTTCTGAAGGTAATGGATGTCCTTCCGCAGTAAGTTGTTCTCACTACCGTTTGAAGCTTTGTGTTAAAAACTTTCATGTCATCTCCTGTATCTAAGTTCACATACACAGCAACAGGGAAACTATCTTGCTTCTTTGTTTCATCATTATATCTCAAAACATTAAAGTTCTTCAATAATATTGTTCTTCCTGCTGGAATACTTCTAACTTGTCTTATTTCAATAGCTTTCTCACCTCCTACATACTCTACCCAGTGTCTTGGATATTCATAAGTATACTGACTTTCTTGAATTTTGGTTGGTTTCATCATAACATGTTCATAGTATATCTTTATACTCTTGTCAGTTAGACTCGGTGCTATGTTCTGAATATTTCTGACTTGCATTTTTAATGGAGATAAAATGAAGCATTTAATACATGACGTAGATGAAGACATGAATGAAACTACAGACAAACTTAACTCTTCTCTTATTCTTCCTTTCAGCAAAGATTATGAATTCTGTTCAAATGGTGTGTATTTCTATTGTGGAAAGATGGGTTCAGGTAAGACATTTAACCTCATTCGTCATATACTCATAACAGAGCGTTTAGGAAACGACTCTTACTATGACCAAATCATTATATCAGCAACTTCAGACTCTATGGACTCAACAGCGAAAACATTTATGTCAAAAGTTCAAGCCTCTGTCGTTAAAGTTCCAGACAGTGAACTCATTGAATTTCTTCAACGTTACATTCGACGTAAGAGAAAATATTATGCCATCGTAGAGTTCATACAGTCAGGAATGCAAAAGACTTCTGAGGAGATGGAAAGAATTATTGACAACCACCACTTACGTCAGTACTCAGGAGTTTACGATATGAAACGACTTACAAACTACATTCTATCAAAACTTTCAAAATACCCCTTCAAAAAATATCCTTCAAACACTCTGCTCGTTTGTGACGACTTCGCCGGAAAAGGTTTAGTGTCAAAACCAGACTCACCATTAGCTAACATCATAACTAAAGTCAGACATTACCATTTAACTGTAGCAATACTTATGCAAACATGGAGGTTTTTAGCTTTAAACATAAAACGTCTCATAACTGACTTCGTTATCTTTCAAGGTTTCTCATGCTATGACATTGAACTCATTTGGAAACAGTCAGGTATAACATTACCTTTTGAAGAAATTTGGGAAGCATATAAGTCTCTCATCTCTCCTCGTTCATACCTTGAGATTCATATCATGACTAATACCATTAAAGTCAAAAATATTCCATGGGAACGACCAACATTGTTTTAAAGTTTAACCTTCAATTGACTGATGGTAAACAAATTCCATGCATCTCTGTCGCCATTTCTGTTAATATTTTTGCTGTCATTCATATCATCCACTTCCCCATCCGTTAGCTTTTGAGGATATGCGTTAGAATAGCTGTTCTTAAATGAAGGCTTTTCACCTTTGAGAGCATAAACTCTATAACTTTCTGCATACTTTATGTTTGAACCTCCTGAGCCATCATTGACATAAATTTTTATAGGCTTCCACCCTTTGTTCATGTTCCTGCTTCTTCCCTTAGCTCTTTTGTTCAGTAGTTCTACATCTTTATACACAGAACCTGTCTCAGTGAATTCAACAATATTTTCATTCGTTAGCTTTACATTCAAACCCTTGTCGAGTATATTGTTCATTTCATACATATAAAAGGTTTTTATTCTATAAGAAATGAGAAGCAAATCCATCTTAGCTGGTGCCGTTAATGTTCCAATTGAACCAACATCAAATGTTGACTCACGAACGACAAACAATATTGTCATAAAGAACTATAGTTCAGAGTGTTTGAAAGAAAAAGAACCAGAGCTGAAATCCGTGAATTTAAACACAGCTTCAAACGCTAACGCTACATCAGATGTTAAGTTAGAGTATCCACCACTGGACCAAATTCTTTCAAGAGAAGCCAACGACAACCCTTACACAAATGTTCAAACAAATCCTTCAGATAACGTAGACCATTACCTTCTTCAGTTATATCAAACTATCTTACTCAAAGACGATAAGAAGCTTTTGACAAATCTTATAAGCAAGAACCAAATAATTCTAACAAAGGAGGACCTTGAAAATGTTATATCACGAATAACAGGAAAGCAATGTGTCATTGACTATCTCGACCCTGAAATCGAATGCTGTGGTCAAACTCCACTATTCATGAAAATAGGTAACATCCGCATCATTGAAACACCAGGAACTACAGGAGTTGAGTTTAAGTATAAATATTCGAACGAGTATACAAAACTATCTACTGACTATAAGCTTTGTTTGAAATATGTTTTAGTAAATTAAAGCAGTCAGGACCTTCGGTCTTGGCGCTTTGCGCCGTCAGTCAAAAAAATTTCAAGTGAGCAATTTGTAATATCTATCCAAAACTTCTTCAACAGTATCGAACTCATCTTCATAATGCAAACCTAATCTTATTGACTTGGTGCAGTTTTCACTAACACAATATTTTTCTGTTCTCTTGACTGACATAACTAACTCATTTGTTTCATCAAACAGCAACAACCAAAGTTCATGACCTAATACATAACATTCATACTTTATATTTTTAGCTCTGAGTTCTCTTGTAAGCTGTTGCATTTAATATTTTCTAAAAAGTCAACTTCAACAGTCATTCGCACTGGTGCCTTCAGTTCTACAGGCTCTCCTTGAAAGTCAACAAGTCTGAATTGCATGTCTTTCAAATTATGAGGACTAATGCGAACCCATTTACCTAAATGAGTTGCTATGACAGGAACGTTTGGAATGAACATTGAATTTACTTCATAACAGAAAGACTTATATTCTACTGAACCTTTACTATTAACTCCTGAAATACCTGTGACATTAGCTATTTTTGACTCAATGTACAAACAGTTGCCATAACATACATATGGAACAGATTTCATCTCAATCGTTTTGTCAACACTTTCGACATGGTATATAAGAACATCTCTGACATATATAAATCTGGGGAGTTTAAGACATACGACAACTTTGTTTCATTAGTTGCAAAATGTGTATGGCAGATAAGAGATAAAGATAGAAGAGGTAAAGTATGGCATGAACAGATAAAACCAACTGCTTTTGAGTTAAAGAAAACCATTGACGCCTTAGTTGTTTTAGCAGGTAAGGTTTCAGAATATAACGCAAAAATGAATCCGCAATGTTCTAAATGTAAAGCAGCAATGAGGAAATATAACTATTCAGTAAAAGAGATAGAACGTATGAGAAACGACTATGCAGATTTAAAGAGGGAGGCAGAGAAACCAGCAGAAGATAAAATGGACATGTTAGAATTTCTGAACAAAAACTATCCAACTGCTGACGATTTCCTTCTATCTGATGTCAAGAAGAAGTATAAAGAAACTTTCGGTATCGTTAAAATTTTTGATATATTAACTGAAGAAATAGAAGCTACAAAACTGTTTAGAGTCTCACGAATTCATAACGTTTACCATGTAAAACGGTTATAAATAATGAGGGTAGAAATGAGGTTAGATATCGAGTTAGATCTAACCATCTACCCTAAAATATATTTTTATTGAATTCAGCACAAAAATAATGAATTTCATTAAGACAGAAAAAATAAAGTTAGTTTTTATTTTTATTTATTTTTTTATTTTGTATGTAAAGACAGTAATGTCAACATTAGAGAACACAACAACTGCTATCGTTCATGAAGTCATAAATGAAGAATATGAATACATACAGTATAACAAACAGTTACGTCTCATTCGTTCAGTCAAAGACGATATGTACCAAATGCAAAGTATAATGAATGCTCTTCGTTCTACAAAGCAATCATATCATTGGTTTGAAAACCAACAGACAAAAGAACTTTTAGAAGAATTTCCTCATATGATTGCTTCCCTCGGAAAACCGAGAGAAGAGATTCCGTACGAAAATCGCAAGAATTTGGCTCCTGGTTTGAAAGGTTATTATGTTCATAGACTTTTAGTAAACGCTGTAGCAATGTGGGCTTCACCTCGTTATGCTTGTTATATTTTCATGATGTTAGATGAACTATATAAAGCAGAACGTGGAGAGATGGAAAAGAAACTTCAAGCAAAAGATGAAGTCATTGAATCCAAAGACAAAAGCATACAGAAAAGAATACCGCGTTCAGTACCAAAAGGAAAGGAAAAGAGTTATAAGTATATGATATATACTGAAGAGATGGAAAATGAAGAAGATAAAGATATGGTTATGTTGCATTTAGTGAGAAGAAATAACAAGAGCTTTTATGACTTCGCTAAGATATATAAATCTGATAGAAACTGGTTCTATCGTGAAAACTTACCGATTTCAATGACTCCGAATGAGCAGATAAAGGAAATTGTCAAAAATACTCTTCCTCAAACACACTATGACATCAAAGGTTGCACAATACTTACATTCAAAGAAGACTTAACATTACTGAAGGAAAAAAATAACAGAATATTTCGACAACTTCAAAGAGGAAGAATAAAAAAAATCTAAGCTAATTTTATTTTTTTTATAAAATTTTATCTCATATGAAAGAACATGAATTTAGAATATTCGGAACTCATGACAGAAGAAGAGAACAAACAACATGTAAAAGATTATGCAAAATTTCTGAAGACATACAAAGCATTTAAACAATATCTAAATGCTTCTAAAGATTATGCAAAATTTCTGAAGGTATATAAAGCCTATGAAAAAGCGTATGAAAAGTTTATACATTGGGGAATTGTTGTAAAATATCGATATGAAGACTAACCAAAAATATATTTTTGCTTAAATAACGTCAGGGTCTATTTCTTCAACCATTTCACTTCCTTCGTCAATGTCAATAGAAGCTTCTTCAACCTTTGGTAAGAACTTTTGTATAACATCTTTGTTCGTTATTGTTTTCAGAGATGAAGGATAATATTTCACATTTGTTTCACCTTTCTTATATTCTTTCTGTTCGGAAAGATTTAAAGCAATACTGAAGAAGTCAATGTTAGAGTTCTTTATGACAGTATAGTGTGTTTCTTTGACATTCACGAAGAAACACTTTTGTTTCAAAACTACTGCTAACTCTTGTGAAGTATAACGTTTGCGGTCAATGACGATAGCTAATGGTCTGACATACTGACCAAACTTAGATTCTTTCACAAACTTCTTGTTAAAGATAACATTAACGTTTGCAGCACCATTGAACTCATTCTTGATGGCAGTAGCGAGAGCATTGTATGAAAAGAACTTGCAATCTTGCATGTGTTTCATTAAAATAAAAATATTAAATTATTTTGAAAAATAACTTAAAAAATCTAATCTAATTTTTTCAAAAAATATTTTTTTTATTTCCTACTAAAGATGTATCGGAAGTTGTCTAAGTTAGAACACTCGGAAATAAAACAACTTCTTACAGAAGCTAATATAGATGTTGCAAAGCATTACGCAACAAACAAAAAAGCACTCGCTGACATCCTCAATGACTATAATGGTGCAATAAGTTATGATAGAATTCATGAGTTCATAAAGCCGCAACGCGGCGAGGACGAAGTCCATGCAAGAGCATTTCCTTTAAATGACGTTGCTATTGACTTATATCATAGACGTTCAGTACCTCATGAAGTAAGAAGAGAAATGTTTGACATAACAAATGCAAACGTTGGTGAAACAAGAAGAAGAGACGACACACTGAAACAACAGAGAAGAGAGATGTTTAAGAGCGCTATAGAACAAGTTCGCAAAGCTAACGATGTCATTCGTTCCATTGACGACAAACCAAAAGAAGGTGAGAGATGGTTAAAGAAAGATGAAGAGAATAGGAAGAGAAATGTGAAGTCAGGCAATAGACTCATTGACTTTAACATCGAAGCTTTAGATGAACCAAACAGAGACTACTTACACAAACATTTCGGTAAGGTTTTCATGAGACTCTTAGAGAAAATTAAAATAAACTCACAACAGAGATGGATGGTATGTTATAAACTTGGTGGAAAGTATGATGTTCTACGTTAAACCTCAATAATATTGGAACATTACTACATCAGCTCTTGAAGGAGAACTTTATATCAGAGATAGAAGCAAATGCCGCAGGTATTGTTGAAATGCACTATGACTTCTTCTTGACAAACATAAAGAATCTTACCGAAATAAAAATGTATGATTTAACAGAATATGAAGGCTTAACGATGTCAGATGTAAAGAAAGGCAAACCAAAAAAGAGACCATATAGAGATGAAAGCACACTGACAAATGACCAGAAAGCCATTTTGGAAGCTCTTAAGCAAACAGGAAACCCAGCACTTATAGAAAGCTTTTGGAAAGATAATGGTGAAAAGAAGTTTTATAAGAAGAGAAGCGGTCAGTTCTGGAAGTATCTTTGCACATTACCTATAAATCTTGAGCGCTACCAAATCTTCAATGAATTGAACAAAAGAACTGCAGCACTTATGACAGAAGACAATTGTTTCGTTTATGCTTGCATTCAGGCTGGAGTAGATGGAGAGACTATTGACCACATGAGAGAAGTCATTCGTGTTAGAGACTTTCCTCAAAGTAAAGTACAAGAAATTTCTGACGCAACAGGTATAGCATTTAATGTTACCATTGGTTATTTCAATAACTCAAGACATAATGAAATAAAGAGATACATACCAAAAGAATGTAAAACTATTCGAACTATTGACTTACTTCTTGTTGAAGACCACTACATGCTAAACGAAAGATTACCAATGACAACATATTTCATTCGCAACTATATAGAAATCTTGAAGGAGTGTGGTGAAATGAACATTGAGAAACAAATGAAGATTTATACAAAGAGAGAGAACAAATATGTAGTTCGTTATGATAGAACAACACCGTTATGGGATGTTATGAAAACATTGTGGGAGTGCAAATATTTCGAACCTATTTCTTATGGAGAACTTTTCACATATACGACTGACTTATATAAACAGAACCTTGCACCATTTAAAGATTTGACATATGCTCCAAAGTATTGTGTACAACTGAAGAAGAAAGCCGAGTCAAAAGAAGTAAATAAAAATAAGTGCAAGTTCATTCCTGAGCACGTTTTCTTTGCTGACTTTGAGTGTAGCACAGACGGCTTTCATAAAGCTTTTAACATCTGTTATGACAGTGAAGATGGTTCAGTGAGTGAAAGCATTTGGGGTCAGAACTGTGCAACAGAATTTTTGGAGCGACTTCCTGACAAGAGTTTAATATATTTCCATAACCTCAGTTATGACATAAACTTCATCTTAAGACACATGACAGAAGTGAAAGGAACTCCCATCATTAAAGGTTCACGAACAATGCAAATAACTGGCTTATATAAAGGAAGGGCAATTATTATAAAAGACTCTTACAGTGTTATAAATAAGAAGCTTAAACTATTTCCTGCTATGTTTAACTTACAAACAGGACCGAAAGAAGTATTTCCATACAACTACTACAGCAGTGTTTTGTTAGCAAATGACAACAGAACTGGTGTCATTTCTGAAGCGTGTAAGTTTATCCGGGATGCGGATACATTCATGAAAAACATAGATTCCATCAAAGGTTGCAGAATAGATGAAAACCACTTCGACTTAGAAAAGTATAGCACATTTTATTGCAAACAAGATGTAAGAATTTTAAGAGAAGGTTTGTTAAGTTCCGCAATGACATATTGAAAGAATTTGATTTAAACGTTTATGACTACGTTAGTATTTGTTCAATTGCTAACAAATTATTTGAGAACAGAGTGTACTTCCCGAATGGAAATTTATATGACCTCTCAAATAAACCAAGAGAATTTATTTCACGCTGCATTCAAGGTGGAAGATGTATGCTGTCAGATAACATTAAACAAAAGAGCGAAAAGAAACTCATTGCTGACTTCGACGCTGTTTCATTATATCCATCAGCTATAGCAAGACTTTATACTTTAGAAGGTATACCGAAAGTATTGAAGAAAGAAATGTTAAGCACAGAGTATCTCATGAGACATTTATTCGATGACGACCAAAAGGAACCCATTGGTGAAAAGTTTATGTCTGGCTTCTTTGTTCTCATTAAGATAACAGAGATTGGAATACATAGACACTTTCCTTTAATAGTTTGTGACCCTGAACTAAATCCAGAACTTAACGTTCCCAGAAGTTCAAACACTTGCTGTTTAATGTATGTTGACCATATAACATTACAAGACCTCATAAAATATCAAGGTGTCAAATGTGATGTGTTGCAAGGATACTATTACGATGGAAACAGAGATATTAGAATAAGAGATGAAGTAAAGAAGTTGTTTGAGTTAAGGTTAAAGTATAAGAAAGAAGGAAATCCTTTGCAAGAAAATATAAAGCTCATTCTGAACAGTATTTATGGCAAAACTATTCTATCTCCTATTGAGTCAAAAATAACCATAGTAGATGACAAAGATGCTATAAGATATGCTATAAGAAATTACAACCATATAGTGAAGTTCGAAGGTTTGGATGGTTCAGATAAAACTATTTTCAAGCTAACGAAAAGCATTTGCAGACACTTTAACTTCTGTCCACTTGGTGTAAATATTCTATCAATGTCGAAGAGAATAATGTGTGAAGTATTCTGTACTGCTGAAGACTTAGGAATGGACATCTTTTATAGCGATACGGACAGTATGCATCTCTACAATGAAGATATCCCTCGTTTAGCTGAAGAGTTTGAGAAACGTTATGGAAGAGTTCTCATTGGTAAAAACCTTGGTCAGTTTCATAGTGACTTCGCAGAAATAACACCTGGAAAACAAAGTTTAGCATACAAGTCAATATTTTGTGGAAAGAAGACCTACATAGACTTACTCACTAACGATTTAAATGAAGTTGCATTTCACTGCAGAATGAAAGGCGTGAAGCAAGATGTTATTGCTTTAACCGCTAATGAAATGTTTCCTGACTCTGTTCAGTGTTTCTATGATGAAGATAAAGGTTTAATGGTTCCGCAAGGAAAATTTGACAAAGACTCTGAGTTCAGTGTTATGAAGTTATATAAAGCACTTTATGACGGTCAAGAGATTGGATTTGACTTATGTAAGTCTTCTAGTCCTTGCTTTGCTGAAAAGTTTAACTTCTCAATAACGACTAAAACAAGCTTTATTCGTAAGTTGAAGTTCTGAGGTCATTTATTTTTGTCAGCAATGAGGTCATGAATGAGGTCATGAATGAGGTCATTTATTTTTGTCAGAAATGAGGTCATGAATGAGGTCAGCAATGAGGTCATGAATGAGGTCATTTATTTTTGTCAGAAGTGAGACCATTCATGATAAAAATAAGCCGCTAGCGGTGAGGGCGAAGCCCATGTGGTCATTTACAATACAGCAATTGTAGAGTTTAAGAGTTGAGCTTCAATGTAGAGACAGTCCTTATGGTCTGGAGGTAAGAACACTGGGCAGTTATGGTCATGAGTGGAGAACATGTCTATCCAAAACTCACGATTGAAGCCAGTTAATTTATAGTATTTAGGATTTGGTAATGGTGAAGTTCTTGTATGACCAATGAACTCATTTTCAACTCCCTTACTTAAGTTTGAATATAATATAGCTTGCTTTCTATCCCAAATGCCAGGTGTTACAATCTTTGAAAATTCATTTTTCCTCGGAAGCATTGCATCATAATTGAAAACATTCTTGAAATCATCACTTGGTTCAGAGATTTGAAATCTTATACGTAATGGATTTTCTTTCTCTTTAGCGACTTCATTGAATGGTGAGAATACAACAAACTGACAGTCATGTGTTCCATCTTCATTTTCATTAAATTCATAATGAAAGTCTATAAGTTGTGGCCGACTACCTTCTTCTTTCAGTTGTGCAAAAAACACACGTAAAGGCTGTAAAGTTTGTACTTCAATGTTGAACTTTTTCTCGAACATCTCATTAAATGAAATCATACATTGTTGCAATGTTGTATCGTCTTTAAAGTATTTGTATATGTGAATGTTTTGGGCGCTTAAAGACTGTTCGTCATTTTCTATCTCGACTTGAAGTATAAAGTCAACCTTTCTGAAAGCACGTGTTATATACATAGATGTTATGCCAATGTACTTCTCTTCATTTATGTTCACAATCCAGTCTGTTGGAAACTTAAACGTTACTCTGTTCCCCTTTATTTTGACGTCAGGGTTTTCACTACTGAACGCAACAGATAAAGGTATTTGTCTATACATTTAATTCGGATAAAAATAAACCATTTACTCTTTCTTTGCTTCAGCTTCTTTAGCTTTTGCTTCAGCTTCTTCTCTAGCTTTCTTCGCCAGCAAACGTGGGTTCTTTTGTCTTCCAGCAGCTAATGCAGCAAGTTGTTTTTCACTAAGTTTTCTCTTTGGTCTCTCTGGCTTTTGTTCTTGTTTTTGTTCCTTCAGTTCGGATAAAATTTGCTCGCGAATTTCTTTCTTCAATGCTTCAACATCTATGACCCTTGGGTCTTGTCCATATGACTTGTCTGAGTCATTTGACTGCAGATAAAAAATAAAATTAAAACTTTAACCGATGTAAAATGAGCTTGTCAAAATCAGAGCGAGAGTCTATTATATTAAATGACGCCAGAGGAATACAACATCCTTTCTATTATGTAAGTCAGAGTAAAGATGGTAAAATATATGTAAGAAAAAGAAAGGTTCCATTAGCGAATACAGAGAGCGACAACATTAAGGTGTATGGTAAGGGTGAAGTCCATATAAAACCTTCTATTCAAACTGAAAAGTCAATAGAACAAGAAGAAAAGAAGCCAGATGTTCTTTCAATAACGAACCAAGAGCTTATTGCAAAGTTCGTGAATTTCATTGAGAAGCAAACCGAGTCAAAGAACCCTGACCCACCAGTGAAAGAAGTTGAGACAAAAGAGAATGTACAGTTCATTGAAAATGTCAAGAAACAACTTCCACCACGAATGCCAAGAAGAAGAGTGAGAATAATGAAGTAAATAGATATTTTTATCCGAAGTAAATACATGCAGAACGAACAGTTAAACGAATTTACTCCAGCAGAGCATATTCATCAGATTCGCTCATATTTCGATATCATAGACAATGCAGTTCAAATTGGTGACACTAATAGAAAATATTCTGACGCAAAGATTCCATCACAACCTGGAACTGCTAAAGATAACACATGGGTAACATTCAATCTCTCACCTCCTGGTGAAAATATGTTGGACCTTTACAATACATTCATTACGTATAAAATGGAAGGTCAATTTATTGCAGATAAAGAAATTGGTTCAGGTTCCAATAAAACAAACCCACCAGGATTTTGGATTGGTTTCGATGACGCTTTCTATGCAGTTGCTGGATATCAAATCCTTGCAAATGGTCGTATTGTATATTCTCAAGACAACGCAAGAGAAGAAGCATATATAACTTCAAACTCACAAACTACCGAACAAATAAAGAAAGTAGATGTTTTCTCAAAGACTCGACATGAAGATGTATGGAGTCATTCGGGAACATGCAGAACAGGACAAATTGTTAGTGGTCCAATTACAGCAGGAAAATCATTTGATTTTAAGCTTCGTTTAAGAATTCCTGTTAGAAAGTTTTTACCATTAGAAGCTATAAGATTTATTCCTGCATTTGCTGGTAACATTCAGCTTAAAGTAAAGTTCAGTAGCGACGCCTTACAATGCACATCTATATCTGTAAATGATATCATTGCTTTCAATCCAACTCTTAAAGTTGCATTTGCTTCAGATTCAAATCCACCGACAAATAAATTTGTTCCATGGAATGAACCATTCACTATGATAACGAAGGCAATAGAAGCTAGTGGAACAGTTACTATTACAACTGTAACCCAGCAACTATTTCGAACAAAGATGGATTTTAATGAATGTTTCATTCATCCAAAGTCATTCTCTTTAGACCCTAACATTTATACAGAACTTGTAGAACATTATACAAACGAGGCTTTATGTTTTCCTGTTAAAGTTATGGATTGGATTCCTATGGACGGTTCATTCTCAAAGAATACAGATAGTTCAAGTGCAACATTTACAGCAGCTTATACGCCTATTAAGGTTAAAAGTATTTGGGCACTATTTAGAAAGAAAGACAACTATTATGTTAATTTTGAGAACCCTAAGTTTAAATATCTTCAGCTTTCCATGGGAGCTTATGGAAATATACCTGCAGAACCTGAAAAATCATATGGACCTGTATTTTATGAAATGGTTGCGAACGCTTGCAATACAAACAATGATATGATTGGATTTAATGAAGATGTTATGAGGTCATTGGTGGATGATGGTAGTGTGGAACATAAATGGGATAGCTATGACAACACACATTTCTTATGTGGTTTTCCAACTGAAGTGGACTTTTGCTTCCAGCAAGGTCAAACATCTACTGCTCCAATAACATACAAATTGTCTGTTAAAGGACCTATTGAACTAGCAACTGAAAACGTACCAAAGCCACTTATTGGATTTATGAGGGATTGTTGCTTTGCAATACAAGTAAGACAGTCAGGCATACCAATAATAAGACTTGACGACTATAACTTAGCAACTGACGACAGTGAGGAATAAAGGATGAACGTTTATTTTTAAAGCTTATAAATGAGTTCTTCATCAAGCTCTCGTGAACCTTCACCATCTATGAAACAAACTTTACCAAACGATTATGGAGCACCTATTGAATATTTCTTACGAGCTGCACAATGGCAAAGAGCAGTCTCACCAAGGTTAGGTGTTCCACCAGCTCCTGTCGAAAATAGCATTTGGTCAAGTCCTTATATAAACTATGGTCTCCCACTAGGTTTGCTAGCTACAGCAGGAGCAGTAATGATGTTGAAAAGAAATAAAGCAAATGTTGTAAATAATACTGAAGTAGCTGAAGTTAAACAAACTCCGACACCATCGCCAAAACCAACGCCTTCACAAACAACACCTTCAATGACTCCTGAACCTATGGAATTACAAACTCCTGTTCAAAAGTCAACTCCAAAACCGACTCCAACATTTAAACCAGAACCTACACCACAAATAAATCGTAAAACTCCTGCGTTTCCTTACTGAAAAAATAACGTTATTTTTATTTAATATTAAAATTTTTATTTGATTGAAATGACAAATAAAGTCACTGAAGCAATGAAACAAAAGTTTTTGGTAGAATACATTAAATCAGGAACTATTCCAGAAGGTTTTTGCATTCATACTATGAAGGATGGTAGAGTTCAGTTTAGAAAGATAAAGCAACCATTAGATAAAGAAGGAATTTTGAGAAAGATTAAACTTCATGAGGACAACATTGCTGAACTTAAGAAGAAGTTAGAAGAGTTGGAGAAAGCAATGAATTCAACAGGGTAGAAATGAGGTTAGAAATCGGGTTAGAAATCGGGTTAGATCTCACCACTTCACCTAAATTTATTTTTGTGCTATGTTTTCATACGTGTGAGGGTGGTGATATCATTTATTTTTTATTTTATTTTTTAAAATTATTTTTATTTTATTTGGATGTAATGACAGAACAAAAGCAACTCATACAAATCAAAACATATAACAAACATACATTTAAACATTTATTCTTCCTTCCTGAGCATAACATGTTCTTTCAAATACATCCGAGACCAGTTGACTTTTCATTGACTGTTTATAAAGATAGAAATAGTTATATCATTAAACCATACGATGACGAAGGTAAGTTATGTAAATTGTACGTTAAGAAGTTAGAGAAAGTTTATGGCTTCAAGTATGACTACAATAGGGTTAACACTGATGATGAAGATATTGAGGAAAATTTATGAGAACATTAGTGAAGTTGTTAGTGAGAACGATAGTGAGGTGAAATTGTTGGCGGCTTTGTAAATATTTAAGGTTAAGTTAGTTTTTGCGTTCATGTTGTAAAATATACGTTAACGGTTTTGTAAAGTGTCAAATTCACAAGTATTGGGTAAGGTGGAACGCAGTGCCACCATACCCAAGACTTGTATACTAACTGCTTTATTTTACGAGTTTCAAATTTAGATCTGAACCATGTTGAAGATCTTTCAAATCAATACGACAAATACATTTGTACACACTAGCATATTGTAGCAGTTTATATTATAAATAAAGATTCGCTTTATTTTACGAGTTTCAAATTTAGATCTGAACCATGTTGAAGATCTTTCAAATCAATACGACAAATACATTTGTATACACTAGTATATTGTAGCAGTTTATATTACAAATAAAAATTCGGTATTTATTTTTATAACTTATTTTTTATTACATAGATTTTAATTCTAACCGAAAAATATTTCTAATCTATTTATATACATGTATTTTACTTAATGACATTGATGATATATGCAATTTATATGCACGTTTATCAATTATCAATATGAGCCATTGTATTGTTCATGGTAGTAATATTTGAATTTTAATAGTTGTTATCAACACCACGTAGCTTTTTGTCCTAAATTTATACTATTTGGTTCCGAAATAAGATTATAAATTTTTAAATTTAAATTCGACTTTTAAATACACTACTGATCGATTGCTTATATTGAGTTTCTGCTTTGCAAACAAGTTGAGGTTATAATTGTAAGTTTATTTGTATGAAATAAGAAATAATATATGTGACATTTGGATTTTATGCTACCATTTTTCTAAACAGGTGGTAGTGAGTCATTCACTTAAATATTGAGTAATCTTCAATAATGTGTAACGAAGATTTCTCTGAAACCATTAAAATAACGTATATAAATAATCGTATGTCAAAATGTGTGCCTATTTCAATTTTGCACACATTTTGACAGAAATTTGAATGAAATTTAGAGGTTTTTCTTCAAATTTGAATGATGCTTGTCAGAAAAGTGTCAAAATGTGTGCAAATGTGTTCATTTTATTCATCTCATATTTCATTATTTAACCAGAAAAACAATTATTTATAATTATTTTCCAAAAGTTTCTTCAATTGAATACTTTCAATAGAAATGATTTGAAAACATATTTTAACCTTGTGTCTTTTGTGTCCATATGAATGCATATCAAGCCCTTCATAATTAATGACCTTAAATTTATAGAGATTTATTAGTGAATTATCTTATATTTCTAGCTGTGTTATCCTCTAATTCGGTTTCTTTTCATGAAATACCAATAAAAATTACGCCGGTGAGTAATATAAATCAAGACGCAACTATTCAATTTTTGAGAGAGTTTGCGAATTAAAACGGAATGATTAATAAAAATATATATTCTTGAGAAATTGATATTATTTGATTTAGAATTTTGTATATTATTATTTCCTCAGATCTAAATTCAATATATTTTTGAATACTCAATAAATCATTTAAAATTATTTTATAAATTATTAATATGTTCTTTATCTGATACTAAATTGATATCCAATTTCTTTGGAAATTGTTTTATTCCTCCCTTCAAATCTTCGCATTGAATTTATATTTGACATCTCAATTTCTTTGAAAAGCCATTAATTCAATTAGATTATCATTAATTCAAATTTTTTAATGCTTGGAATAGAAGAGGAAACTATAAAGAGCAGGAAATCCTTGAGACAGAAATTTAGCGCAGATGAAGATAAACGCAAAGTTGAGCTAGTTAGTGTTTATGGCAATCATTCATGGAAAAAAATTGCGACATTAATGGAAGGCAGGAATACACGCCAATGTCGCGAAAGATATATTAATTACCTATCACCAAACCTTATTAATGGACCTTGGACTTCCCAAGAGGATCGATTCTTAATTGATAAGGTGAAGCAATTTGGTCAGAGTTGGTCGAAAATTGTTAAATATTTCCCAACAAGATCTGATGTTAACATCAAAAACAGATACGCCCTTCTTGTTTCTAAAGGTAAGGCTCCAAGGTTTAAATCGGAAACCCACAGGACCAAAAGTAAGAAGGCGGAAACAACTGTGCTCAAAAGTGAACCTTGTGTATCTATTGAAGAAATATTTGATACATCAATCTCTGAATTTCAAGAATTGAAATTGGATTCCAAAAATGATTGCCCATTTAATCTCTCATCCGAAGAATTATTTGATTTATCTTTTTATTAGATTGGTAAACCGTTGTAATTGTATGAAAATTATCTTTTTAGTTCAGTTTCAAAATAATCTTAAATTTAATGAATAGTTTCCTTAATTTCATGCTTGATAAGCAGTCTTATGAGTTACTTTTCGTAATTACATTCTTAACTTGAACTTTGTCATGTCAAATGATGTGTAAATTTTTGAAAAGTAAAATTATAATCCGAGATTTCGCTAGTAAGAGATAAATGAAGTAAGATAGCATGATTGGTGTAATAGTCTTATTCATTTTCGTCACTTTTCTAATTACAAATGATTTCCTTTTTATTTGCACTGACAACATCAGTACTAGACTCAAAGAAAATATTCAAAAATGTTTTTAATGATAATATAATTGTAATAGAAGTCAGTGGTAACTCAAAACAGTACATAAATGGTACTAAACAAATGACAAAACCAGAATATTCCATATACCCATGGGACAAGACATACGATTGGTGCTCAAGCTGTGGAAAGACATATGACGACCATCAATTTATTTCATTTTCCTTGCGTGAAAAGAAATTTAAGATTCATGGTTATTACATAAGAGTCGGTTGCTGCAATGAAGGATGCTGTTGCGAAGATAACTATTACTCATGCATTGATTGCTGCTTATATTCATGGGCCCTTCAGATTTCTAATGATAATCAAACATGGCAAAACCTTCATATCGTCGAAAAGGAGCAAAACATGAGAAAATGCAAAGATAGATCATATGACTTCGACAAGGAATACATTACGAAATATATCAGATTTGAACAAACTCAGCCATGCCCTGGATATCCTTCTTGCCTTTCAATTAATAGAATTGAATTTTATGGCGAAGTCGTTAGTGAAGATTCAACCAACGAAGACGTATTCAGTCAAAATGAGGAAGATGATGTAAGTATCATAGGTCATTTCTCAAAGAGCTAAAAAACATTCAAGAATTTACCTTTTTTTCTTTTATTTCCTCATATTTCTTTCGGAATATCAAAATTATAATTTATTTCTTTGATTTTTATTTAAAATCCTAAATAAGATTTAAATACGTACTAATTCAAATTAAATTTGATCTATTAGTCCATGAAAGAGAAAAATTATAAAAATTATAAAAATTTATTTTGAGAATGAAACGACTTGCAATAAGAATAATTATATAGTAACACAAGTGTGAATGAATTGTATAATTCAATCGAACTCTTTTGTTTTATTGAATAAAAAAAACAAAAATGAACTAGATAAATTGTTTGTATTGATGATATTTCTATACATCATTGCTTAACATATAGAAAAATGTTCTAGAAATCAAAATAAAGTGTTTAATTAAATCTAACATTTCCATTCTTTGAGATATGACCAATAATACTAACATCATCATCGTCATCATGGTATGAAACGAAGTCTTCTTCGCGTGAATTGTCATTAACAACTTCACCAATCAAATCAAATTTATTTATTGCGATGCAAGGAGGATCTCCAGGGCATGGTTCATTCTGGATCAGTCTAACATACTTAGTAGTATATTCACGGTCTAATTTATAAGTATTCTCGTTGCATCTCCGCATGGATTCATCTTTTTCAATGCGATGAACTTCTTTCCAAGTTTTGTTGTCATCGGAAACTTGTAATGACCATGAATACAGACAACAGTCAAAGCAAGTAGTAGATTCGTCTTCGCAGCAGCAATTCTCAGATGCGTAGCAGCATCCGCATCTGACAAAGTAACCTGTCAATTTAATTTTCTTTGATTGCAAGGAATATGTAATCCATGGATGATCACTACTCGATTTTCCACAATTTGAACACCAATCGTAATCTTTATTCCATGGATAGACCGAATATTCTGGTTTTGTATATTGGAATGAACCATTTATGTATTGTTTTGAGGATCCACTTACATCTATTACTATAATTTTATCATGAAATGCTTGTTGAAATATCCCATCTTTGCTAGAATAAGATTGACAATTTAAAAAAAGAAAAGAAATCATGAATATAAAAAGTGACATTTAAAATCTTTTGTATTTGATTCTATAATAACATTATCATTGGAATGGACTTTTAAGTGTATGCTAATTTTACGATTTTTAGTCAGCCTTATAATATTTTCAAATCAAAATTCATTCTTTGTATGAATTTATCTTAAATGGAACTTATAAATAGTATATCTCAGATTGTTATATAAATTGGTCTAATAAATTAGATGAAAATATCAAAATTGTGGTAATTTAAATCAAGGTTGATACGATTTGGGCGAAACAGATAACATCTTTTCTGCATTTCATTATACCGTTCTAAACCAAATTCTAAAAAGGATCTATAATAAATTTATCTTAAAATTTGTTCGCATAGTATTCAAACATTTCAATATAATTGACATTTGTCATAATTCAATTTTGATTTTTTCAGTACCAATTTTTGTAATGATCTTGAAAGTGATTGATAATTGACAACTAAGAAGATCTATTATTAAATAAGCCTCATTAAATTTATCAAAAACCTTTGGCGCCAAATAGTTTCAAAACATTTGAAGAATGATACAGCATGAAGATTAATATTCAAACACTTGGACTTGGTATAGTGATAGTTCGAAAATTGTATTCAAAGGTTGAGAAATTGAAAAACATTCCCAATCTTTATGATGTAAAAAGATACTATAATTGCTTTATTTTGTCCGTGATTTAAGCATGGTTTACTCAAAGCTTTTTATTTGAAGATATATTCAATTTTTGTGAAAATGGGTGTTCACTGAAAAGAATAGGTTTTGTATTTATTTTTAATAGAAAGTTATTGGTATCAGAGAATAGCAAAAAATGTGATGCGTATATTGATAACTGCTTTGTTAATTGTTTCAATTTGATTTTTGTCAGAAATGAATTTGATTGAACATCTTGCTGTATTGAGCTTAAATACCCAATGGAGTGATTTCTTCACTACAACTCCAAAAATATATTGCTCAAATCCATCAAATTGGAATGGAGATTACTATGTTTTAAATGTAATTTTCACTAGTTTATCGAACAGAGCTTTATTAATGGCATTTTCAAGTAATACAAAAGTGCTAATTGAATATTGTGATTTCACTAATGTTTCGGCAACAGGAAATGGAGGTGCAATTAACTTTGGTTCATATGGTATGTTTGTTGGAAATCATAATTGCGCTGATTCTTGTTATTGTACTGGATTCTGCCACTTTTCACTCAGTATAGTTTCCGCATCGCAATCTGCCTATAATTTAAATTTTTATACTTCATGTAAAAACTGTGGTCAATACAATCTAGGAAATGGCACAATAGGAAGTATCGGAGGATATTGCTGGTTAAATAATTCAAATATTTCTGACTGCCAAGCAATTACCCGTGCAGCTTATCTACTTGAAGATGCATCAAGAATATCTTATGAAGCGTATTGTCATATATCCAATAACAATAGTTCATATGCATTCGTGATGAAACATTATGTAGGAAAAACTGGCTATTTGCTATATATGAACTTCCTCAATAATAATGTAGATGATTATATTTTTTGCTCAGAAGGGTCATATATCATATTACAAAATTGCTCTGTGATTGATAATCCGTGCACATCAACCTTTTATAATTTCCAAGGAGAGTTTGTTGTTACATTCTCATATTTCAGTAACAGTGGAACCATTGGATCATTCGTGCGTACTTCCTCTATTTTGAGTTCTAGTTATGTAAATGATCTTGGTGATATTAATGAGGATTTATGTATCACTGTACTACCAACATCTATCTGTACCCCTATTCCATCAACCCCATTGCAAACTCCAAAATCTACACCACTTGTAACAATGCAAGCAACAAATTCAATAACTCCTGTCGTTACACCATTTAATACTCCATACGAAACATTAGCTAGTACTGCTATTAAAACTCCATATTATACGCCTTTGGCATCTACAGCTTCTACTTGCCAACCTACAATGTCACCATCTTCATCATCTACGTATGATCGAACAAACATTATGAAATATTTGAACAATAGAAATCCTGTATTCTTTATAATGCTAACTTATTTCTAATTATTTTAATATATATTGAAATTTGTAAAAATTCTTTCGGCATTATATTCATCTCTAGATATGTGTTTCCCAAATATTATTAATCTCGATGACCTTAAATTACAAAGTATCAAAAAATACTTTACTCTTAGATTTTAATAATTCATATATAAAAATGATTTTTATTATTATGTAAATTCATGAATATTAATTCAATGAGAATTTCGGACGAATTCTAATTCAAATTTTGAAAGGGTATTCGAAGCAAAGAATCATGAAAATATTCCAAATTTAAGTTCATAAATTACGAAAGGAATTAAAGGAAAATAAGGTGAAAACTTAAATGGGAGCAATTGAGAAGGAAATTGAATTTTTGAATTAAGAGTATAATAAGATGTTCTTCGATTTTTTGGGATCTAGTATCATCAGAAAAGATTGGAGTAATTATTACAGCGGTGTTCCTATAATCTATAATAGCTCAACATCAACCTGGGATGGTAATTACTATGTTGTAAATAATGAATTTGAGAACCTATCACAGAAGGCTCTTCAAATATCTGCATCAAGCAATACGAAAGTACTTGTTGAATACTGTTTCTTTTACAGTATTTCGTCATCTGGCTATGGAGGGGTGATATATTTAGGCTCCGCTGGAGAATACGTTGGAGCTTATTTATGTGCATCCAAATGTAAATGTGATTCATTTGGACACTTTTCATTAACCTGGACTAATGACGATAAAAATGCAAAGAATTGGTGTATTCAAAACTCCTGTTCGAATTGCGGAACGTATGGAGTTGGATATTGTACAGAAATCATGGATTATGGGGATGGAAAGTTTGCTAATTCTAATTTATCTAGTTGTCAATCTGAAGATAGATGTGCCTATATTAATGAACAAGCTTCGAATATTACTGATGATAAATTTTGCCAAATAGCAAATAACACTGCATCTTCTTCATATGTTGTGAAGCACTATACTGGATGTCAAAGAAATATGCGCTATATGAACATTGTAAATAACCATATTGCAAATTATATAATCTATAGTGAACAGGCAACTGTAGTAATTACAAATTGCTCATTAATTGATAACTCTGCAACAGATGTTTTTTATAATTCCGGAGGTTCTTTTACAGTAATAACTACATATTTAGAAAATTCTGGAACCATTTCAAACGATGCAAACACTATTTCAATTTCAACATCATATTTTCAATTAAAATTGAGTTTTTATGGAAAAAAATAAGTGTGCTACCAATGAATCGAAAAATATCCAACAAAATACTGAAGAATTAAGAGCTGAATCGGGTTCAAAAGTTGTTATTAGTATATTTTTGGGAAGGCAATTAGATTAAAAATGTTAATACTAAAGTGTAATCATTTCAAAATTGAAAAAATATATATAAGGTAGAAATAAAGAATATTTTTATTGAAATTGAAGATATAGATATGAACTCAGATAAGATTTTGCTTTTTAAATAAATTCTGAATTGAAATACATTTATTATAAAAGTCTCAAGAAGGAATTAAATGTCAAGGTACTATGGCCGAGTGGTCTAAGGCGGTGGATTCAAGTCCCACTACGCGAGTGCATGGGTTCGAACCCCATTGGTACCAATTTTTTATTTTTTGTTTTATCAACGCAAATGAGATTATTGTATTTTCATTTAAATCCAGATGGGAAAAGCATCGAGACTTTTTAAACTAATATAAATAACAACATTTATTGGGAGATTCAATCAAAAAAAACAAAATCATAAGTGTAAATAAATCATTGATTCACTTTCTTCAGGTCAGAATTAAACGACCTCTTAATAAGTCCATCATGATTATGGTCAACATTGTATGCACCTGGTCCAGGTACATCATTTCTTGGTGAATTCTCAAATCTTGTAGCTCGTGACACTGATGAACTCCTTTTTTGTTGTCTAAATTCTCTAACATTATAATCAACTGGTGATGGCCCTTTCTTAATTTCAAGAAATCCGATTCGAGATTCTTTTGCTTTTCCATATGTTTTATTAATAGCGCCAACGTTAGATATATCCTTTGGTGAGTATGCACCAGGTCCAGGAGTATCATAATTAATATCATATATTCTCCTTGAATCTGTATTATGAAATTGAGGTGAAGGATCTGTAGATTTAAGTTTAAAGCTACTGAAATCAAGTTCGTATGATCCAGGTCCTGGTGAAGTTGTTCCATAAAATTGTGTTTTTGCAATGGCTCGTGGAAGATTTGAAGTTGGTGATTTCATCCAATGAACATCTTTAGCTTCATAATCTCCTGGACCTGGCATATCATCTGCTGCATCTTTGAAGCGAGGAGCATTTGAACCGAAACCAGATCTTGGAGTTCTGGCACTAGATTTCGCTCTTCTTGCAGATGATTCAGCGCTTGCGTACTTCTGTGGTCCTGGATAATCATTTGGTTTTGCCCAAAGATCTCTTTTAACTTTGGATTTAAAATTAGAAGTGGCCTTGTTATAATTTATAAGGTCGCCGTGAGCCATGTTGCCACCTTTTGGTGATTCTAATGGCCTTTCGTCATGGTATTCTCTGATATTTGGCTGTATTTTAATATTTCCGGTTCGAGGTGTATAAGCTCCAGGTCCTGGAACATTTTTCTGTTCTCTATCAATTAAGCATGTCTGAGGTCGTCCATATTTGAGTGATGCTCCTATGTTTGTCTTTGGAATATCTGGATCGTAGCAACCAGGCCCTAAGTATGACTGATCATGTGTGTCTCTGAGAATTGGACGTAAGCTTCCGTCAGGTAAAGTTTCATATCCATCTACTCCTTGTCCAACATTTGGTGAATAAGGCATCGGAGCTTTCTTTATTGAAGATTTTGGCCTTCTTGAGCTTTTTGATGCCCATGATGTAATTTGGCTATGATCTACTGGTGAAGGGCCGTCATTAATCTGAAAAGGAGTTCTTTCGCTTCGAGATTGAAATGCTGAACATGGCCGTGATTGTTTTGATGCAGGTTTATCTGGATTGTATGCACCAGGATCTGGTGTTCTGTGTATTTTTTGGCCAAAAGGATTCCTTTTTTCTTTCGAACCACCAAAAGATGTATCATAATTATGCTTGACTTTTGAAATATCACGAATTTCATAACTTCCTGGTCCTACATTTGCTGTTGTCCCGGTGGATCCCCAGTTAAAATCGCGTTTACTGTATTTCCCCCAGGACATTTATAAACGTACACTATTTAAGTATGGATATTATTTTGATCAATACGTTCAAAAATATGTGAATATTGATGATTAATTGCTATCAGTGTTGAATACTGCTCAAAAAAAAACTTTGAGATTTATAAAATGAGGCATAATGTCAGCTAAATAGTTAATTGTCATATTATTGAATGAGTAAGAAATGATAAGATAATTAGCAGTAAGCAATGTCAAAATTAAAATAAAAATATTAAAATTAGTGCATGGATATTTGAAAAGGATAGTTTAATCGAATTTAAAATCTTTAGCAAGATCAACAACTCTGATCTTGCGATGCATTTTTTGGATAGATTTGAAAAAGAAAACATAAACTGTAACACCAAAGATGGCAAATGCAATTAATGCATATACTATCCATATCAATGGTGAAACAGATCTATTTGTAATCATATAAGAACTGGATAATGTTGGAATAAAATTAATTCCATTTTTTGTGAGTTCGTAGAAATTTCGTGGTGAATCTGTCCAATCACCGTAAATTGCGGCTGATTTTATGTTGATTAATAAACTTATGTTACTTGATATGTGATTAAGAGCAATTAAAGCTTGGTTTGTCGTATAAAATTCTTTATCATCGATATTCTGTGGATTATTTGTTGAATTGTATATATGTAATGACGTATCTGTTGGAAGATTAAGTTTTTTAATCACGAAATGCGGTTTCGATATGAAATTAACAAACCAGCATATGTTTGATGCATTTATATTTCGATTAATATCTAATTTGATCTCTTTCTGATTCATTGTAACAATCGAATAATCTGGACAAACTGTTTTTGGTAAATTCCATACAGAAATTGAAACACCACCTTTACTGTAATAAGTTATAGTTATACTCTTGCAATCAATTCGTAAATTATCTCCAATATTAGCATTATATGTGGTAATATTGTCATCTCTCCAAGTAATATCAATAATAACTGATCCTGTAATTGTATGGGGTTGTATTGAGATAAAAATTAAATCATCAATGCTGTTATTGGCAGTAATTGTTTCATGATCAAGTAAAATATATGTGTCAAATGTATTTTCTTTATGAGAATATGATTTTGACTTGTACCCGAATTTAGAGTAAGTCATCTTATTCATTAATAAAAGGAAAACAATGTTCATTTAGTCAAAGAAAAAAATTAATATTGGTCAGGAAATAAAAAGCTTAGTTGATAATAATGCTTGATATCAATGAGTTTTGTCTATGTAAATTTCGTTCGAATTGAGGAAATGAAAGAATATTTTTTCATTGAAAGGATATGAGCAAAAAATATCAGAATTACTGTCATGTATAGCTTTGGTATTACATAATTTCTAATACGCTTTTCTTAATTTTGTTTTATTAACTTATTTTTAAACAAATCATCAAATAAAAGCTATAAAAATATAATATGCAGATCCTATTGGAAGAGTATATTCTGTAAATATGCCAAAAAATGAATTCTGAATTTGAAAATGTATTTTTTTACAAATATAAGATTTTACAGTATGAGCTGCGAATGTACTTGAGCTTTACGGAAACATATTTATAACTATTAGTTGCATTTGTCTACTCTATTATATCTTCGTCATCCTTTCCAGTATCGTCACCACCAACAAATGGAATAACTTGCTCTATAATAGGAAATACTAAGTTGATGGCAATTCTAAGATTCTCTGATGAAGTTGCTGTAATTTTTATTAAGAGGGTAGTATTTTCGGAGCTAAAATTAAAGTCGTACTTTCCTCCTTCTGGTTTTACCTTTTCATTAAGAAGGGATAATGCTTCGGCTATTTTTTCTTCTGATTGAAGCGGATATTTGAAATTAGCACTAAACATTTGTCATTTTTCATAAAAGTGACAAAATTATAACTCAGTGAGGATCTCGTTTCGAGAAGTAACGACCGGTCTTTGGAAATGAGAATAGTGACCAGAAGAAACTTTCTATATATTTCAATGAATTTAGAATCAAAAATGATTTTAAATGATTCTTTTCAATTCTTCTCAAAATCAAATGAATCTATATAGAAGAAGATTGGCTCTTGAAATTGATTATTTATGAAATCAGAAAATAACTGAACGGAAATAATGAAAGCATGATATGAGTAATACTAAATATTTAAAATAATCCGCTCGACAGATTTATTAAAAACAAATACATGAATTAGGATACGGATTTGAGAGCTTTGGATTAACGCTCAATGAAACAATTCCAAAAGGTGATTGTAGAATTGTTTGCAAGCTCCACTCTGAATACTTCAAATGAACATTCTTATTGGCATTTACCAAAAAAAAAATCAGTAAAATAAATTTTTACTGTTTGGTGTTTGAAAAAGTGTTAAATGATTATCACTCTTTCGATTTAGAAATCATTTTCATTCTGTTGCACCATGATCAATGAGGTACTTGATGATTTCATCCAATTTCAGATCTTTTGCAAGTGTGAGAGGTCTGATATTTATATCAAAAGAATGGAACAAAGCAATGATGGATATGAAAATAAAAAGAATGTAATAAAGCAATGATGGATATGAAAATAAAAAGAATGTAATAAAGCAATGATATATACGAAAATAAAAAGAATAGAATAAAACAATGATATATACGAAAATAAAAAGAATATAATAAACCAATGATAGAAAATTAAATAGAATCCAGTAAAGCAATGATAGATATGAAAAGAAATGAAATATCATAAGACAATGATAGATGTGATAAGAAACAAAATAAGAATCATGTTGATATCTGCACCATGTTGAACTAAGGAATCAACGATTTCGAGGGAGTTTTCATGGATTGCATCAAAGAGAGGAGATTCGTAAAAATTTATAGAACTGTATGAAAAGAAAGAAAATTCTCTAAAAAATGATGAATGTGAAAATATAAATAATTTGATAAAACATTGATAAATTTGAAAAGAAAGTGGACAATATAATGCAGGGTTGAATTGTCTAATATAATGATGGACATGAAAAGAAAGAGAATTGCATGAAAAAATGATAAACATAATTAGAATTAGAATTTGATAAAGCAATGTTAAATATAAAAAGAAAGAGAATCGGATAAAACAATAATGAATATGAAATGAATGAGAATTTCATTAAGAAATGATCGATATGGAAGTTAAGAGAATAAAATTAAACAATGATTTATATGAAAAGAAAGGAACCATCATAAAACAAAGATAAATATGAAAAGAAAGAAATTATCAAAAAGAAATAATAGACGTGAAAAGAAAGATTATATAATTAAACAATAATAAATATGAATAAAAAGAGAATTCTATAAAATAATGTTATATGTGAAAAGAAAGAGAATGTAATAAAATAATGATAAATATGAATAGAAGCATAATAAGTTTCACATTGACATCAGCACCATATTCAATTAAGAAATTGACGATTTCTGATGAATTCTTTTTAATTGCAAAAGAGAGTGGGCATTCAACATAAATCGAAATAGAAATCTATGATTCAATGATAGATGTGAATTGTAAGATAATTGTATAAAACAAAATTGAATCCAATAAAGAAGTAATAGATATGCACTTAAAGATATGAGCTCTCAATTTTCGACCCCCAATATACGTTTATTTTAGTTTCGGCATATTAACATGAAGCACGAGCCAAACCCTTAAAGATGTGTCCTCTAGTTTTGCCAACTCTTTCATATATTGTAACTATTTTCAGGAAAAAACGCAAATTCAAAATTAGAAATTCACATTTAATCGAGTATAGTATTAAATTACTATCTTTCGTACACGGACCAAGCAACAACTCAAGGTGCATGCTCATTACAGACAAAATCCCCTCTAGTGCACTTAAATTGGGTGAGTTAGCACCAAACAAGCCATAAGTTAAAGATCTGAACTTGCTCCAGACAATGTATCACTTTAGTTATGAATGCACCAGAAATCCGTCCCAAACTCATACATTTCTACGCTAATCACGATAATAAATATACTATTTTGTACTTTTTACAATAAATCTCTCTTTGTTACACTACAAAATCAATGTGCATTTCGTTGCACCAGTTTTGAATCTTGTTAAATAATGATTTTTGTTACTTTCATGATACAGTCCCATTTAGTAAACGGATTATTTACAAAATAAAAATAAAAAATATATTTTTTATTTACGATTTTTTATATTTGGATTTTTAAGGCATAATTTAGAAAATATTAATAATTTAATCGATTTGATATTAAGAAAGACATTTAAAATTCATAAAAGATCCAAATAATTTCATATCCAAAGTTATTAATATTTGAAGATTTGAGGAAAGAAAAGGAGAAATATTGCATATGAAATGTTTTCAAAAATACATCAGAAATTGTAAAAGAATTTTAATAATTAATAAGATTTGGATAGGTTAAAATTTGTGATGAAACCACCAGATGCTAACTCACGCCACACATACACAGAAGCATTCTATCACGCAACCACCCGATGCTAACTCACGCCACACATACACAGAAGCATTCTATCACGCAACCACCCGATGCTAACTCACGCCACACATACACAGAAGCATTCTATCACGCAACCACCCGATGCTAACTCACGCCACACATACACAGAAGCATTCTATCACGCAACCACCCGATGCTAACTCACGCCACACATACACAGAAGCATTCTATCACGCAACCACCCGATGCTAACTCACGCCACACATACACAGAAGCATTCTATCACGCAACCACCCGATGCTAACTCACGCCACACATACACAGAAGCATTCTATCACGCAACCACCCGATGCTAACTCACGCCACACATACACAGAAGCATTCTATCACGCAACCACCCGATGCTAACTCACGCCACACATACACAGAAGCATTCTATCACGCAACCACCCGATGCTAACTCACGCCACACATACACAGAAGCATTCTATCACGCAACCACCCGATGCTAACTCACGCCACACATACACAGAAGCATTCTATCACGCAACCACCCGATGCTAACTCACGCCACACATACACAGAAGCATTCTATCACGCAACCACCCGATGCTAATTCACGCCACACATACACAGAAGCATTCTATCACGCAACCACCCGATGCTAACTCACGCCACACATACACAGAAGCATTCTATCACGCAACCACCCGATGCTAACTCACGCCACACATACACAGAAGCATTCTATCACGCAACCACCCGATGCTAACTCACGCCACACATACACAGAAGCATTCTATCATGCAACCACCCAATTTGACATTAATATTCATAAATATATTTATCAAACTTATATGCACCCAACGAATTTTCAAATTACTATCACCCACTTCTTTATTTTTATATTTTACAATTCTCTTATATACAAATTTAATACAAAGTTTTTATTCACTCATCATCTCTACTTCTTTATTATCTTCAATCTCATTCTAGCAGCTCTCGCATCTTTTACTTCCTTCATTAATTCAGGCAAGTATTTTTCCAACCAAATTTCTGGTTTATTTTGTAATGCAGATTCATAATTTTTTGATTGTTTTTCCAGAGAATTGATTAAATCTTTGGCATCTTGGAACGTTTCAAGATTATAAAGCAGTTTTACGACTAAAACTGCTTTATTTTTATCGTCAATATCAATAAATTCTGCGTATTTTGATATTTCGATCGGCGAACTCTTTTCTTTGTGATCCACGAGTTCATCCTGAGCACCTACATTTTTATCGATTGGGAATTCTATGATTTCACCTACGTTTTCTCCTATTTTCATAACATGTATGCCTGCAGAGGGAACATGACTCTTATTCATAAAGAAATCCTTGCAATATTTACAAGGATTCTTATCAGTATTAATATCATTATAGGAGAATCCGCAATGTATGCATTTTTCGTTTAACAAGTCATTCTTCTCGCGTTTTTGCTTATTAATGGGATCAATTGATTCATTAATCCTAATGATAGTATCATTCAGAATGAATTTGATGAAAGTAGAAAAGTTTCTTGCTTTTTTTGCAAGTTCGTTAATGTGTCTATGCTTACCCTCTGCACTATTATTAGTGCTTATAGGTGGAATGCGGTGGAATGCTGCTAAATAGGGATGCGTTAAACACGCCATTTGACCTGGCGTACATTTTTTTTGTTCGCCCAAAAATTTCGCCATTTGAGAAATTCAAAAATTAAAAATAAAATTTTAATCTTGATTTTTTATTTTCGTGATTTTTTTGAAACTTACATAAGCGATGAAATACTTTTTTTAAGTAATCGTTTATTATATATAAATATATCTTAATAAATTTAATTCCTTAAGGTAGAGCGTGTTCAAATTTAAAATCTCATACAATATTTTCTTAATGGCGTATTTTTCTGAGGTCGCCCAAATAAAGGTGAATTCAAAGTTGAGAACTCCAAGGCGTATGGCGAGTATTCAAAAAGTACGCCACTTACAAAATATTGAATGTGGATTATCAATTTTTTGGCGTGTTCAATTTCAAATTTTGATATTTATGTTTATTTTATTCAGTATAATGCTAAGAATTAAAATATAAAATTCATAGAATTTTTTCTTTGAAAATATTTTACATTTTTATTAGACCACTCCTAGACTAGTCATCAGGTTATCCTCAGATCATCCTCAGACTACTCCTTATCAGATTACTCATCATCCTCAGACTACTCCTTAGACCCCTCCTCATCAGACTCCTCCTCAGATCTTCCTCATAAGACTCCTCCTCAGATCTTCCTCATAAGACTCCTCCTCAGATCTTCCTCCTGAGACTACTCTTCAGACTACTCCTTAGAGTCCTCCTCATCAGACTAGTCCTGAGACTAGTCCTCAGACTAGTCCTCAGACTACTCCTGAAACTACTCCTCAGATTATCCTCAAACTACTCCTCAGACTACTCCTGAAACTACTCCTCAGATTATCCTCAAACTACTCCTCAGTCTAATCCTCAGACTCCTCCTCAGATTATCCTCAAACTACTCCTCGGTCTAATCCTCAGACTCCTCCTCAGATTATGCTCAGATTATCCTCAAACTCCTCAGATTATCCTCAGACTACTCCTCAAACTCCTCAGTCTAATCCTCAGACTCCTCCTCAGATTATGCTCAGATTATCCTCAAACTCCTCAGATTATCCTCAGACTACTCCTCAAACTCCTCAGTCTAATCCTCAGACTCCTCCTCAGATTATGCTCAGATTATCCTCAAACTACTCCCCAAACTAATCCTCGGTCTAATCTTCAGACTCCTCCTCAGATTATCCTCAAACTCCTCAGATTATCCTCAAACTCCTCAGACTACTCCTCGGTCTAATCCTCAAACTCCTCCTCAGATTATCCTCAAACTCCTCAGATTATCCTCAAACTCCTCAGACTACTCCTCAAACTCCTCAGATTATCCTCAAACTCCTCAGATTATCCTCAAACTCCTCAGATTATCCTCAAACTCCTCAGATTATCATCAAACTCCTCAGACTACTCCGTCTAATCCGACTCCTCCTCAGATTATCTTTACATATATATATCGATAACTAAATAATTACTTATTATAATCTTCTTATTTTTTTAATTAAATAAATTAAATTATCTTTCTACGTTTAATGATGAAAAGAGGAGTAGAAGAGAAAGAAAGAGAGAGAGAGAAAAAAAGAAAGAAAGAAAAAGGACGGTGATAATTTTGTATTGTTTTGTTATTCGGCCGAATGGCGGGTACGAAGTAGCCGCCATTCGGCCCCAAAAATGGTGTATTATTCTATTTTTAAACGGTCATGGCGTAAAACCGTCGCATCCCTACTGCTAAATGCTCTTGATCTTTATATATCTGCTTCCATTTTTCCAGCTGCTCATCTGATATATTCTTTGTAGCATACATTTTCTGAACCGATGGATCAAAACATTTGTAATTGTCCTCAAAATCTTGGGCCGATTTTGATAATAATACTATCAGAGCAAAAACATGTAGTAAAGTATTATTGCCCATGGTTCCGAGATAGTGCCTAATACAGATATAATTTTGGAAATGATTCGTATTCAAAAATTTTAAAACTCCAGTACCTAAATCGCTCATCCATTTGATTCTTGAAAAGTGCTCCATAATGTTTAATGATTTAAATTCAATATTCATGGCTGTAAGCCACCGTTGATAAGCAGCGGATGATTCGCTGCGCCCTATGTATATCCCTAGAGGGTAACCTCGCATATAGTAATTACCACGAGGAAAAATAAATATATATTTCGGCCATGAAAAAGTAGCATCTAAGTGAATTAAATTACACTCCAACGCCAAATTTCCTGATTCGCTTGGAATATATATAAGAAATTCTATAGGATTTCCATTGACGAATAAACTATCACTTCTTATCGTTGTGCTATAATTTACATAAAATTTCCCGGGATATGAAGTTAAGATATCACCAATCTCATTATCATGCTTTATTTTTTCCTGTATTTCATCTTGCAGAGGATGTCCTGGGAGATCAACTTTCGTTATTTGAATGTACCATTTTAACCTCCCTGAAAACTCTTTGGGTAATTTTATGTTTTTCATGTTTTTTGGTACAGTAATCATCCACAACGTATCTGATACTTTTGAATATTCAAAGGATACGATTTTGTCATACAATGTGATCTTAAAGTAATAATAATTATCTGTAGAAATTTTTAAAGGGGAATAATCTTCGTTTTGAAGTAGAAAATAATTTAAGTTTACAGATCGATCAGAACTTATATTGGAAAGGCCCAAATGAATAAATGCTGGCATTTGTTCCAAAAACTTCAATGTTTGTTCATAAGTTAACACATTGATATGAATACCAGGGCTTATTAGAATTAATTGCATTGATTTGAGTTTTTCAATATCAGTATTTTTAGAGCATTCAAAACAAATATGGCAACCATCTATTGTAATTGGAGACCGATCAACTGGAATTTTTTCTATGGATTCATGAAATTGTTTGATCGCTGTAAATTTAATACCCATGATTTGTTCAAAATCTGCTTGAATTTTTTTGTCAGCTTTCAAACAAGCTTTTGCTAAAATTTCCAGAAGGTCATTGTTTTTTATTTGATTCAAAACATTAAAGTTCTTGTACATAAAATCATTATTTTGAATTAGGGCCTCATGGAAGATTAAATGAATCTTTAAACGAATAACTTTGCTTTCATTCAAATTCATTACTGATATAATATTATTTGTTGAAACAATCGAAGAGAGTAATGGATTTCTAAATGTAGAAAATAACTCTGAGATATTGTATGCAAAAGATAAAACATACTTGATTTGGTTTGTAAATTGATAAGTCTGCAAATTGAATTTATCATTCATTTTGAAAATTGTTTCGTTTGGGCTTGACATTATCAATGCTTTCATGATTGGTGTAACATTATCTATATTACACGAATTTAAAATATTAATTGATTCAAATTTAACTGCTAGTTCATAGAAAGAATATTTACTATTATCCAATATAGATCTGATACGTATTTGATAATATTCTTCACCATTTTGATTTGTTTGATCTGAAATTAAAACATTAATAAAATCTTCGATTGTTAAATCACACGATTTTCCTGAAAAAGCAAAAATATTCGAATATCTTTTATCGCCATTAATTATTGCTTGTATTAATGGTTTAGAAATTCCTGCTTTTGAGTATAATTCCTGGTCAAATGAAAAATTTTGTAAGAAACCTATAACCTGTGCATAAAATTTGGGGCGGGCAATTATAAATGCTTCTAAAAATTTAAGAATATATTGTTCCCCTAGACGATGGATTTTGATTTTAATTTGACTGAGATCTGTTTGCAAATATTTTTCACTTATAATCATATTTACCATTTCTGTAAAAGCTTCAGCGGATTTCTGAAATTTAGGTGTTGTTTCATATGTTTGAAGATACTTTACTTCATCGCTATTCGAGATAAAACGCTCTTTGAGTTCCTCCAAATAACAAATGATAGATTTATTTTCAAATCCAAATAATTTATGTCCAAAATTATATACATTCTTAATATTTCTGTTTAATTCTTTGATTTTTGAAACGATTTGTCCCCAAGGATATGATGGTGAATCTCCGACATATGCATTTGATAATGAATCCAAAACAGTGAATTTAGGTTTACCATCTTGATAAGTTATTTTATTTGTATACCATTCTTTTTGATAGGGTTTATTGGAAGAATAATATAAAATTGTTGAATCAGAATTTACACTATTACATCTAATAGAACCCAACTGAATTAAAATCAAATCATCCGAAACATTTAATGGTAGATGAAGATGGTTTAGCATTAAAAAAATTGTCACTTTTTAAAAATTTCGGATTTTTAAGAGTATGTTGAAAATTAAACATACTCTTAATATATGTTAATAATTATCATTTGATAAAATTATTTAAATAGTAATCAAAATATTGTTATAAATATTAATGGAGTTGAAAAATTATGATCATAAAAGTAAGATGTTAGCATCTAGCCTCAGTAGATACTAAGTCATATCAGAATAGACACATATTCATCCTCAATTGACTCTTACTCATCTTCAATTGATTCTCACAAATAATCAATTGATCCTCACTACTGATCAATTGATTCTCACAAATAATCAATTGATTCGCATTAATTATCAATAGATTCTCACTAAGAATCAATTGATTCTCAGTCACCCTAAATTGATTCTCACTACTTATTAATTGATTCTTACTCATCCTTAATTGATTCTCGCTAAGAATCAAGTGATTCTCACTCTTCCTCAATTTCTTCTTAGTATTATTCAATTGATTCTCACTGATGTTCAGTTGAATCTCACTAATAATCAAATGATTCTCACTCATCCTCAATTGATTGTCACTTATTCACAATTTATTCTTAAACAACCTTAATTAACTCCCAGTATTCTTCAATTGATTCTCACTAATTATAATTTGATTCTCAGTCATCCTCAATTTATTCTAACTCAATAAGAATATGAATATGAAAATGGATTGGAATAGGTGATAATTAAAATATATTGATATGAATTTGTGAGAGTGTCTTTAATAAAGAAAAATTTGTCAAAGAACAATAATGTCAAATTGGGTGGGAGTATATAGTAATGAAATATTTATTGATAAATATTAATGTCATAATAATTGAGAGCATGTAGTAATGAAAAATTAATTGATAAATAATAATATTAAATAGGGTGATTGCATTGATCAATACATATATATGAATGAATTTCGATGTCAAACCGTCAGTCATATTGTTAGTCAAAACGTCAGTTATATTCTCATTCATACACTCACTCAAACCGTCAGTCATATTGTCAGTCAAACTCTCAGTCATATTGTCACTCAAACTGTCAGCCAATTGTCAGCTAAACTCTAAGTCATATTCTAACTAAAGCCGTCACTCATATTGTCAGTCAATCAACGTCAGTCGTCACCCAAACTATCAGTCTTATTCTCACTAAAACCGTCAGTCATATTGTCACTCAAATTGTCAGTCATACACTCACTCAAATCAACAGTCATATTGTCACCCACACTCTCAGTCATATTCTAAATAAAACCTTAAGTCATAGAGGCTGTCAAACCGTCAGTCATATTGTCATCCAAACTATCAGTCTTATTCTCACTAAAACCGTAATTCATAGTGTCTGTCAAACCGAAGTCATATTGTCACTCAAATTGTCAGTCATACACTCACTCAAATCAACAGTCATATTGTCAGTCAAACTGTCAGTCATATTGTCACTCAAACTGTCAGTCTTATTCTAACTAAAAAGCTAATTCATAGTGTCTGTCAAACCGAAGTCATATTGTCACTCAAATTGTCAGTCATACACTCACTCAAATCAACAGTCATATTGTCACTCAAACTGTCAGTCTTATTCTCACTAAAACCATCAGTCATACACTCTCTTAAACTATGAGTCATATTGTCACTCAAACTGTCAGTCTTATTCTAACTAAAACCCTAAGTCATAGTGTCTGTCAAACCGTCAGTCATATTGTCATCCAAACTATCAGTCTTATTCTAACTAAAACCGTAATTCATAGTGTCTGTCAAACCGAAGTCATATTGTCACTCAAATTGTCAGTCATACACTCACTCAAATCAACAGTCATATTGTCACCCACACTCTCAGTCATATTCTAAATAAAACCTTAAGTCATAGAGGCTGTCAAACCGTCAGTCATATTGTCACTCAAACTGTCAGTCTTATTCTAACTAAAAAGCTAATT